ATAGACAAATAACTGAGGAGAAAAAAATGTTAAAAATTAAAATAAAACCACAGAATATAACCTATTTTGTAAAGATGTGTTGAGTAGGGAAATAAAATGAGAGATTGACTCCGCATGTCTGATCCTCTCTGGCAGTTTAATCTGAGATCTGAGCTGTACCTAAAAGTAACTTTCATTTTTAATTCATGCGGTGATAATTTCATTTATACGGCTACATTTTTGATACAGAAGTTGCAAGAAAATGTAGATGAAGTCTGCTATAGACCCCCGGGATGGTTTTATATGTAGAAGATTTATAAAAGGGATTTAATCTCAACACAATTTAGAGATTTTACCAACAAAAAACTTGAGCTTTGCTGTGAGAGCTCTGAGAATGTAGAGGCCTGTTTTTGTGTGTTTATGCATTTTGTGCTTTCAGCTTTTTTATTTTGGCTGCTGCAGTGGTTGTCATAATTTTGCACCATTTGAGTGTTTTAAACTTTCTCAATCACAAATCAATGTTTGACTATAAACTTCTGTATCATGCTCTCTTGGTTGTGTAATGAAGCTTTTTCAGACGAACTTTGAGATGTAGGATTTTGTTTTTGTTTTTCTGAGAATAAGATTTGACAAAAACATCTTGAACTGTCTCCAGATTAGCTACGACCAAGGTCAAGCCCACCTGAAAGGATGTTTGTTTTTTTTCTTGTTTTCCTCATAAGCAGATGAATAACAGTCCCTCAGATAACCTCCTGAACCTCTTCCCTCCATCAAACATTAACCTCGTCTTTTAAACCTTCATCTCAGGGGGAGGAGGCCAAAAACATTCCTGGGGAGTCTGTGACGGAGGAGCAGTTCACAGATGAAGACGGGAATCTGGTCACCAGAAAAGTAACCACCTTCACCCTCCCTCATTACCTGCTACATCTTTTTCATACACCTCAAACAAACACACACATGTTTCCTTTAAACTGTCGGGAAAACCAGTTACTGAATTTCACACTGAGACTAACAGATGCAGCAACACACACCTCAGACAGCAGCTCATCCTCCTGTCCTCACATAACCTCCCCCACCTCCTCCCCCTTTTACATGCTTCTGCCCCCTACAGGTGATCAGAAAGGTGGTGCGCCGCGTTTACAACACTGAGGACAGAAGGGAAAGTGAGAGCGACACTCTTACAGAAGAAGCAGCTGGTGTTGGTGTAGGAACAGGTGGAGGAGACGCTGCTCCTTCAGCAGGAGGAGGAGGAGGAGGAGCCTCAGGAGGGAAGGGCAAGAAGAGGGGGAAGCGCTCTCGGCAGGGCAACAAGGGGGAGAAGTCTGGAGAGGCCCAGAGAGGGATAACTGAGGTTTTAAACCCAACCGCCTGACGTAGACTAGCCTTGCTGTTTCACTCACACCTGCATGAAGCTGTGGTAGTGTGTAGATACTGAATCAAACCAATCAGGGTGATGTGACGTGAAGGAAACGAGAGCAGGGGCCACCCCAGTCTAAAACGTCCGGACACGCCCCTGCTTGTTAGCATATCCCTCGCTTTAAGTGCATCATTTTAGCTCAGCGGCAGGTGGATCCACGCCGAACAGAGGGTTTCTTTGGATTAGAGGGACAACGGTGAAAGAGGGTCTCTTCTCAGAGTCTGAACCTCATGATCAGGTTCATGTATGTGGTCTGATGGAAGCATGGATCTGTGAGGGTAACAGTTTGCAGCCTGTGTAGAGCATCGTAGTCGTGTAGCGGGGTCATTATGGCGACTCTGCGGTCTACTCACATGTTTGCATTTTCAGTGATTTTGTGCTTGAACGCGGCGTGGACTGTACGTTTAATTCTGAGTTGTGTAACAGTCATGCCTCTTGATTGGACGTCAGATTTACTAACTTGTTTTTACTAATATAGAAAGAACTCTCTCCTTTTAACATGTTTCGATGACAGCATGTGTGATTTTAGCTGCAAATGTACAAAAGTAGTCATCTTAACCTCTTCTTCTCTCTCTCCTTTAACTTGTCTCTCCTTCAGCACGCTGCCTGAGATCAGCTGACCGTCAGTAGTTGAGTTCAACTAACACGAACAGCTTGTCTTTAAGATTCACTCTGAATAAATTCATTTTTGCGTCTTTCTCTTCTCGAATGCTTCTGCTCCACCAAGCCTGGAGATGGCGCCACCAAGAAACAAGGGAAGAAGAGTCAGTCATAACGGTAGAGCTCTCAACTTAACCAGGTAGAGTAAAGACCCGAACAACATGAATCAATAAAACCAAGAGATATCGTATAATGAATTCTGGATTAACCAGTTTTATGTCTTGACCCTCCAGGTCCACTGCGCCCACCTGCGGCACCACAAACACACCCTGGGAGGAAAAACGAACTGGAAGCCTTGTCCACTCGACCAAATCGTGTCTGAAGCTTTCACTTTAACATCGCATGGTTTTCAGCAAGATGACCGAGAAAAAAAACAAACAAGTTACTTTTCTTTGATTTCGCATGAGCATGTCACTCAAACTCACTCACTGTTGGAAACAACGAGGAAGGACACGCATGGACGTGACCTGGAACTTTCTTTGACTAAAGAAAGGCGTCTGTGACCAAAGATGGCACAAACAGGAAAAAAAAACAAAAAACGAAGAAGACGACGTGTGATTCACTCTCAGACACTCGCCTTATATGGTCTATTTTTTCCTCCTGGGCCCTCAGTACTATGGGGGTGTACTATGTGGTTCTTTTTTTAAAAAAATGAAATATAATAATAATAAATGGGTGATTTTGTTGTATATAAATGTCACTGTATAAAATCTAAAAAAAAAAAAAAATCAGTAGCTTCACAGATTGTTTATGCACTGATTTGCGTTGAAGCTTTGCAGCCGGTGCGTTTGTACGAAGAGGTCGACACTGTTTGAGCAGCCCTGAGTGTGTGACCTGACATGCTCTTCCACATGAAAACAAAAAGCTGTACGTAAACGAACAGAGAAGAAAAAAAAACTGCTTGGTTTTAAAAACAAAGGACGTGTCTTCGAAGCCAACTTCTGCTCCGTTCTCCGTCTCCAGAGAAAAAGATATTTTGCTGCATGTGACGTCACTTTATTTTTGATGCCTTCCTTTCCTTTGCTCCCGATTCAAAGCACTGTAAACACGAGTAGAGAAAAGGGTTTCTTGGTACTTCTGTCTTTGTGAGCACTCACAATAACCAAAACATGCGCCATCTGTCACGGTTTTTATTTGATTTGTACGAAAATGAAATCAGTCACACTCCACAGGGACTTCACTCGAATGCATCAGGATGCTTCTGTGAGACTTTAACTTTGTCTAATCTCAAAACTCGCAACCCCCGTGTGTGTGTGTGCGTGCGTGTGTGTGTGTGTCATTTAAAAACGTCATCATGCATACTGGAAGTTTCTGTCCAAGCTTTTAGTTCTGCTGTGGTTTTAAAAAGGAGATTGCTTTTATTTTGAAGGTTTGATTACGTACTTTTATTTAATTGAAAAGCCTGTATAACATGAGAACAGAGAATCTCATTTTTAGCCCCAAATCGACTCCTTTTTACTAACTGAATCACGAAATCGATCACAAGCTGTTTGAAATCTGCTTTCTCTGACTGTGTATACCTTTTTTCTGTTTGTCTTTTTTCATACAAAACCACCCAAAGCATCCATTGTTGATGAAAAATCTGGTACCAACATGTATGACAAACCAACATAGCCTACACTGGATGATCCAAGTAATAATTATTTAAGCAGAAAAATAAATTGTGTTTAAACGGAAAGTGTGTCTGCTTTTTGATCGTGTTTTTTTCTAGTTTTAAGGTGGTGCCATATTTGCCTCATTATTAGAAGACCTTTCACTTCTATAACACAAAGAAAATGTTTATTTACAAAAAGTTTCCTTCACCAAAAAGAAGTATGTTGAAGTGTACTTCAAGTGTACTGTTTTTTAAACTAAGTATGCTTTCAGTTAACTTTTTATGCACTTTTTAGAGATATACTTAACAAAGTTAATGTTAAGTATACTTGACTTGTACTAAGAATCATACTGAAAGTCTAAATATATTTAACCTATACTTAGACATTAACTTTTGTGTTTGTGCCTTGGGTTTAAGTATACTTGGTCAGTGAATACTTCCATAGATCCTTCTAAGAGTATACTCTTGTTGAGTATACTCTTAAAAAGATAGGCAGTACAAGCCAAGTATACAAGTATGTACTACTATTGAAATAATAGTACATACTAAAAGGTAATTTTCATTGTTTTTCGGAGTCAGTGCGCAGATAGCCGGGTGGATTAAAGTGCGCCCCATGTTGGGTATGGTATGCTTCAGAGTGTACTTTTATAAAATAGAAAGAGGACTAGAAGTTTATTACTTTTAAGTATACTTTTGTAAACTTGAACTTATAGAGTATACTTTTACAAACTAAAAATGTTCCAATTTAGTCTGAAGTATTAAATTAGTATACTTTGTAGTACATTAAAAATACATGGCCAGTAGTATCGTTGATATACTTACACTCAAGTGTACTTAATAAAATGAACTTTAAGTACACTACTTTTTGCTAAGGGTTAAGCCCTTTGAGACAGCTAATTTTGGCAGCAATTTAAGATTGAAGTCTTAGTCTTAGGACTAAAATGACTTTTAGATTTGGTCACATTTTAGTCATTTTTGCCCTAAATAGTTTTAAGTTAAAACATTCAAGTCTAGTTTTACCAGATAAAAAGTAATTCCATCTGATTCTTCATGGTAAAACAATGTCATCTTCAAGCCAAAAATAATAATCAAGACTGTACTTGCATTTAAATCTGCTGTGTCAAAAAAAATGTTAACTTGTGTGTTATTTCGATTTCTTACCTGGACTGGCTGATGACATTCAGACTCTCCCACAATGCAATGCTGCTGGTCTGTTTCTGCTGATCCACTAAGGTAACATCGAGGAATGATCCTCACTCCAAGTCAAATATTCTTTCTACATCCTCTTCATCCACATCCAGGATGAAGAAGCGTTTTCTCTGGTTTAATAGATGAGCAGTCAAGACAAGATGACAGATTTCCTGCGTTTATTGTCAGAACAGGATATTTTAGCACCATTTATGTGACCTGTATATTGGCAAACGAGGACAAACAGTGGAATCAAAATAGAAAAAATCTGAACTTACAAAGTAATATATATATATATTTTCTTTCCATTCTTAAGTTTTAATTTTTAATGTTGTATTTTGGGAATGTAATCAGACTTTAACATGCAATTGACATGATGTACAGAGTAATACAGCATCTTTGTATCATTGTAAAATCCTTCAGCAAGTCTTTGTAGGTTTGTTGGTGTGAATTTTGTTGTTTCATGATATCTGGATATTTACATCCTGTTTTTATCCTGCATAATGACTTTAAAAATCTCCTATTCTCCCTCACATGATTTTCACTCTTTCTACAGTGTGTAAAGTTCTCTCCACTCATGATCCATCTCTCTGAGTCTCACTGTGTTTCTTCACTTTTAGCTACAGATGTTGCAGCGGTGGTTATCCCGCCTTTGTGCGTTTCTGTGTGTGTTTTGAGCACACTGCGGGCCTTGAAGCTCTTCCCGCAGACGTCGCACACAAACGGCCTCTCCCCCGTGTGGGACCTCATGTGGATTTTCAGCGCGCTGCTCATGTTGAACTTCTTGCCGCACACAAGGCAGTGGTGCCTGAACTCTCCCGTGTGGAGCCGCATGTGTGTTTTCAAAGCCCCTCTGTGTCCAAATCGTTTCTCGCAGACGCTGCAGGGAAACGGCCTCTCACCCGTGTGGGTTCTCATGTGAATCCCTAAATACTCTTTATATCTAAAGCTCTGTCCGCACACTCTGCAGTCATACGGCTTTTCCTCTGTGTGGGTCTGCATGTGCTTCATCAGATTCCTGTTCCCTGAGAAGGCTTTTCCGCAGACGCTGCAGACATACGGCTTCTCCCCGGTGTGAGTCCTCATGTGGGTCTCCAGCAGAGCCGGGTGGCTTAACTGCTTTCCACAAACTTTGCAATCCTTCGTCGGGACGTATGTTTGCAGGTGAAGCCTTAAGCTCTCCTCAGACTCAAAGTGCTTCCCGCAGACACCACAGATGTCTTTATCCTTCTCAGTTTCTGTCACGTGCTTCAAGAACCAGGCTCTGTGGCAGAACGACCTCCCGCACACTTTACAGCTGTACTTTAGATGTGGTTTGTCTGACCCTTGAGCTTCACCTTCAGAAGGTTCACTCTCCATCCCCTCCTCATCACTATCGCATGCTTTGCTCTCAGCGTCAGTATGTGTGTTTTCTTCTTTTACCGTATGCACCTCCGATCTCTCACCACTTTCTGCATCTTTTCCACAGGCTCCACACAGTAGAGGGCGCTGTTTAAAACCCTGAGTCTGTCTGAAGCTCTGACCGCACATGATGCAGACGTAAAGCTTCGTCCTTGTATGGATCTGCATATGTCTCTTCAAGCCCCCCTTTATGGCGAAAGCTTTCCCGCAGGAGCAGACGTACGGTTTCTCTCCGGTGTGCGTCCTCATGTGTATGTCAAGCCGATATAAGCAGTCGAATCTTTTCCCGCAGACTTTGCAGGCTTTTGTTGGGATGTAGGTTTGCAGGTGGAGCCTTAAGCTTTCTTCGGACTCGAACCGTTTCCCGCACACTCCACAAATATCTGTACCCTTCTCGTTTTCTGTCACGTGCTTCCAGAACCAGGCTCTCTGGCCGAAAGACCTCCCGCACACCTTACAGCAATACATCAAGTTCATGTTTTCACCATCATCACTGCCACCTTTCCCCCAATCCTTGCTCTCAGCATTCGAGCTTAACGTCTGCGAGTCCTCTGTTTGATCCCTGCTTGTGTTTTCTTTGTAGTTCACTTCCAAGTGCATCCTAAAGCTCTCATCGGAGTCCAGATGTTCGCTACAGACTCCGCACAGCTTTGGATTCTGTTCGGAGCTCAGAGTCGGCTTGAAACTCTGACCACAAGCGCTGCAGACGTACAGCTTCTCCTTCCTGTGAGAGCTCATGTGTCTCTTCAGGGCGGCTTTCTGGTTAAAGGCCCCCCCACAGACGCTGCAGACGTGCGGTTTCTCTCCGGTGTGCCTCATCATGTGCATCTCCAGGATTTTCGGGGTGTCAAATCGTCTGAGACAAACTTCACAGTCGTTTGTTGAGACGTAGATTTGCAGGTGGAGGGTCAAACTCTCTTTAGACTCAAACCGTTTGCCACACACTCCACAAAGATCTGAATCCTTCTCTTCATTTTTCACATGATTTATGAGCAGGGCTTTGAAACAGAAAGACCTGCCGCACACTTTACAGCTGTACTTCTGCTGATACAGACCTTTGTTTGGAGCAGCTTGGGCTCCATTTGATTTGTGAGTTTGTGCAGCTGCTCCATCATTCGTCTCCATGTCTTCATCATCATCAGTATCATCGGTGTCATCAGTACTGTCATCACTGCCAGTTCCTTCACTTTCCCCCCAGTCTTCCTCACTCTCACCGTCATCCCTCTCAACCTTGATGCTCATCGTTCTACCTTCTGGATGACTCCCATAAAATGGTTTCACGTCCATTTCTTCATCTGAATCATTTTCTTCTTTCTTCACTTGAAAACAGTTAGTTTCCACTTCAGTTGAGGGTGTTTTTTCTGCCATTTCTGCTCGATGAAGATGTGAGAGTATACCATGGATGTTCTTGACTTTTACCTGCTGCAGATTTGAGGTTTTCTGGATCTCACAGCTCTGTTGCTCGGATGAAATGTCTGTCTATAAGCTTGATGCAGAGAGTCTCACTGAAAGGAAAATGAAAGAAAACATTTAAAGAAAGAAAAACAGGGTGAGTAAATTCTTATACAGGGGAATCAAGAACACTCAAGATTTGTCATGTTAATGTTAGACAAGGTCAACAGTGCAATGAAATGCCCTGGATGAGAGGACCGCTCGACTCATAGGAGTACAGAGAAAAAAAACACTCAGTAACACTTTACTTGACGCCTATCTCTATAACGCTTTATAAATATATTTATTATAAATATAGTCTCCTTTTTGCATGTATGTGTGCAAAGCTGTAAAATAAGAGAAAACTGGATATAACATGAACTTTTCAGACTAAAGCCGGTTCCAGTCTCCTTTTTGTAGACAAACTTACTTTCATTTTGAACAGAAAACATATAAATATGCGTAATGTTTTAATACATAAGAGAGATAAGCCTTCTGATATGTATATGTTTGAAGAAAAATGCGTTCAAATGTTCAAAGTTATTCCCTAACAACAGTAACACGTTAACAAACCTGACGTTACTACAGTCCTCTGTTATCACCGTCTGGACTCGTCTGAATTCCTCTTCCGCATGTTTCTCCTCCACCAGCGCCGCCAACATCAATAATTTATGGATCTCTAAAGTGTATTTTATATCATTTATACATTTGTTTGCTAATGTAGAAACATTGGAGAAGTTAGCTCTCCTCTAACGACACCGAAAAACCCACAAATAAATGCTGCTTCCAGGGTTGTCTTCTTCTACTCATATTTGAGTTGATTTTAGAGGTTGATGGTGAAACACCGCCACCCCATGTCCGTAGATAGTATTGCAACCAGGGATGACAAAAGTGCTTAAATATTCCGCTCAAGTAATAGTGGCGTTTTACCCAAGTAGAAGGAAAATCAACAGTCTTTTTCTACTCTCAGACCAAAGCAGAACTGTTAAATATATGTTAAATATAATAAATGTTAAAATATAATTGTAGCTGGAGTTTTCTCTGTTAATCAAATGACTGATATTTATTCCTTTAAACAAAACCTTCAACAACAAAACAGATAACTCTTTGTTGTTTATTCTTATTGCCTAGAATCACAATGAGGGTTCAGGTGTCAAGCCAGAAAACCTCTCATACTTTATCCACAATTATCATACTGAGCAGGACATCAGGCTGTTTAAAGACAACAGGAGATTTTTTTTTTTGCCTTGAAACATAATTTCCATGCACACAATTTATGAAAAGCTTGTGTCTTTTTTTACACTTTTCGCCCAATCTGTTTGCATGCTAACTGCTGCTATTCAAATTAGAAGAAATGCAGTAATCCACACTTAAGTAGAAGTAAAATGTTACTTGATTACAGTTGTAAATATTAGACACATTTATTGCACTTTGTTTTCAAAAACTTGCTATTTACACATGCACCTCATGCAGTGGACATTTGGTCATTTTCAAAGCAACTATTTTAACTATTCGCAGGAAATAAAACACACAAAACAGTCCAGGAACCCTTTAGCTTACATGGCTAAACATGTGATCAGAGTCAGCAGCTTGCTTAGTCTGACTACCTGTGGAAGTTTAACCAAAGCAGAAAAAATAGGGATAAAGTCAGGGTCAAAACTTCAGCTGTTTGCTCTCACGCACTGTGGACTTCAAGAAAGCAGAGTTCATACAGTGCGACCTGACAACCTGCGTGACAAGTCAAACCAGCCTGTGAAATTTGGGTCCAGCCTTATCTGCAGCCTGATGTTGCCTAAGTTGTGTCGTTTGATTCTAGGTATTGACGTAACAGCTGGGTATCAGCGCCAAAGAGAGTTGGAGGTCAACTGTCACAGATTGACCTCTGTCCAAATATTCTGGTGTGAACACACAAAATAAAACGGCAGGCTCAAAAATTTTAAAAAAGCTTTTATTTTGAAAGGATTAATCAAAGAATTTTATTCTCATGTGCATCCACCAGATTTTGAGTTTAACTGCAAAAAACTCCAAAATATTTTGTAAAAAAATGAGGTTTCAACCAGAAAAATAACGGCACATTAACGTAAAAACATGCAATAATGGTTTCTCCAACTTAGCGACAATTGTTCATATTTAATGATGGGACAGTTTTCATGCATTAAAGTTCACCCAAAGGGAGAAAACCTTTCCCATGAATAAGCAACTCCAGTGTGAGGAAACAGTTGGTTAGCCATGAAACGTCAAAATTCAAACAGAAATGTCACATTTTGCAGTCGACATTTTAAAGTCAAATGGATCATATCTTGTATTTCCCAATATTTAATCTTGATCCAGATTTTGTGCCACTGCTTAAAAACCTTGTAGTGACCTACAAATGTTTTCTCATGACTCTGTTTTTTCTTTATCAGGGATACCATGTGCGTATTTTGTTCGACAGATAGACAAATATTGAATGTTCAGCTCACGTTGTCGACCTTATGTGCCCTGACTGATACGCAGACTTTTGTCTGACGTGTGGATCAACGTCATTACCATATATAAGGTCAAAGGCCAGACAGGGCTTCTGGTGCAGAGTTAATGATTCATCACTCCCCCTGGCTTTGCTTTTGTTGTCTAATAAGACTGTCCAAATGTGACTTTCTTGGTTTGTCTGAGAAGCTGGTAAAATTCATATGAACTTAAAATAAGACAATATGATGATGTTTTATTTAAAGTCTTAATTTAATCTAATGTTTTATTGAAAAAGATACAGTCAAAATTCACCAGCGGGGCTATCAAGAAGAGATTGAGTGTTGTATGTAAAAGAATTTGTATTGACAGTAATTTTTCAAAGTAACCTGGGATTTCCACCGCTTCCGGAACGGCTGCGATTTTCGCCGTATGCCAATTCCTTATGGATCCATTTGTGAGGCAAATTTTGTGGTGGATTATGTAAAGCAGGAATCGCGAGAACTCACAAGAACCTGCGGATTCACGTGCAAACACATGATAACAAGTTGTCTCTTAGCCACATGGGCTAACCAAATACGCAGTAGATTTTGTCCTTCCAGAGGAGGAATTTACTTCTATAAAATCAGCGTCTTGTCCATGGTGTCATCGGAGTGAAATGCTGTGTAAAAACCTTTCACTTGTTCGTCCCCACTCATTTGCATGGTGTGAAATACGATCCGCCTGAAACACGGAGTGTTTTATTTTCAAAAGAAGCCGGATGTTTTATTTTGTGTCTGTGCCCAACTTCCTTTCCAGCATGGGTTACTCTGTGCTAAACTTATCCGGCATGCTCCGGCGTACGGAAAAAATAGAACTCTTGCGATCAGCTGCGGAGTCCAGCGATCGGCAGCAGAATGGAAAGAAGCCGGTGGAAATTGACACATTAACTTGAATGGTTATGATCAGCTATAATCGGCGGATACAGCTTTTTCGTAGCCACTACAGATATGATGGAAATTGTAAGTAAAAGCTTGGCAAATCTTACTCATCATATATTATGGCAGCTTCTTGTCCTTCAAGGCCACCATACCTTCACTAACAAGGAAGTGTTTTGTTTTTATACATCCTATCTTGAATTTGTTGGTTAAAGCTCCTGTGAGGAACTTTCCATCTGTGTCCGTTTTGGCGCCCCCTGTGGACAAAGCAGTCTTTACCACTTCATGCTTGAGTAGTGTCTCCTTCCTGAAAATCTCACCCTGCTGACTCTTGACGGTCAAACATTTATCATGAATACCTTATGTGGAAATCATAAACACATACTCAATGCAGTGAGTCTAATAAGAAACAGTCCGTTTTGTAAATTTTGACAACTTTTTTATTAAAAATACATTAAACAGTTCAAAAATACTTTCCATTAGTTAGAAAAAAAAACTTTCTTTGGTAGTCAAAATACATAAAAAGTTGAAATAGCATATCAAAATCGTTAGTGACTATTCATGGCTTTGAAATGAGGTTGAGCATGACATGATAGGAATGAGTCCATTGGTAGTCGTTCAATGTTTGTCCTGTCGCCACATGTTAAAAATTTGTAATATTAGCTTATTGAGTTAAATTCAGATTCCCAGAAAAAATCACTAAGTGCTCCGGGGTGTTGTGGACGGTGCTTTTAGTGTCACAGAGCGCTCACAGAGTCCAGTGTCCAACTGACACTTGTGACGATTTCGCGGCGACATCGTTTTCCCTGAGTATGAATGCCATCAGCCCCATAAGTTGAAGGGACTCTGCACTTCCATTTTATGAGTCTGTATAACCTTCGAGTTCGTTGCTCACACTCCCTTTTTGTTCTGCATGCTCAGCGCTCCGTTCACGCAGTACGGGATGATGCTGACGGTTACCAGGGGCACGGTGGCGCTCTTGCAGAACGACAGCAGGTAGAAGAGAGCTGCGGTGTGCGTGGGGGGCTTGAAGGAGTCGAAGAGGTGCAGCAGGAACAGAGAGCTGAGGACGCACCCCGCTTTCACCAGCTTGCTGTTGCTCTTCTTGGCCTCTGTATACAGCGGGGAGTGCAGGCCCAGACCCAGGCCGAACAGAGTGCCCATGTTACGCAGGAGGCTGGCGAAGGGGGTGGTGTCTAAGTGGACCCACTCAGGCCTCACGCACCACTTTTGGGCTTTCTCCAGGGTCCACAGCAGGTCCACGCCTAGAGCTTTGAGCAGGAGGTAGAAGCCGACAGCAAAGGAGGTCAAGAAGAGGGTTGTGTAGAAGTAATTTTTCATGCTGGCGTTGTAGATCCACTGAGTCCTGTTGAAGGCTTCAGCCACGATCATACCTAGAATTTAATGCAGCGTCATTAAAATCTGTTTCATTTTTATTACATAAAAGCAGAAGCATAAAAACACTTATACTGACCTGTGATGACACCTGCAACGACCTGGTGAGGGAAGTGAGCAGCAATGAAGACTCTGGAGAGACAGACGCACACCTGGACTGCGCAGAAAAGAGCCCACAAAACAGCCTTCAGATACCTGCGGAGAGACAAAACACCAAAACTGTGATTTATCAAATCAGCTTTGTCTTTTCAAGTGCAGCACAGAAACAAACAAGTCAACCTTTCAAAGCAATATAAGGATTAGCACAGTTATTCTGTGCCGCCTGGACGCCAAAACAAGTCATGTACGATATCCTAACAGTTCCCAGGAGTCAATGATCAACCAAAGTGCAGAACTGATAGTGTGTCCTCAGCGATAAGCTCAGGATGGAGGACGTAAACAACACTTATAGAAAAAGACCTTCATCTCAGATCACAGTTTCCTCGCTCACCACTGCTTGTTGGTGGATTTTTTGCTTCCGAATTTCTTCTTGCTGGTCATGATGGCGAGGATGGAGGTCACCAGAGTGTAGTAGACCCCGGCGGCTCCCATGGCGTGTCCAGAGGGGCTTCCTGCGCGACACAAACAGAAAAGGGGAGATATGAGCGGCTGGTTCACTCAAACAGGACAATGACTGCAGTGTTAAGAGCTGAAGTGACTGAAGGAAGGAAGGAATGAGCGGGGAATCAGTTTTATTATTCAGTTTTTAAGCTGAAATCCAAGAGACAAGAGAACTTAAGTGTGATGTGAAGTTAGTATTTATTTGACAATTTAGTTAAAGGGAGGATGTAATGTTAGTTTTCAGGCTTTATTTTCTCCCTCTGATAACTTTGTAGCAGCTTTAGAGCTTGAACAATTCCTGATTCATCTCAGATTGTTGTCTTTAAAAACTCGGCTTGAAATGTCTCATTTCAGCCACTGTCTCTCTAGGGCCTCCATAACACTCCAGCAGCCTCCTCCGCTGTTGCCATGCAACAAAAGTTATATTTCTCTATTTGAAATGACAAATTATGAAATATTGCCAAATGTTCTGGACCCCAGAGCTGAGTCAGAAATGTTGGAAAGGGCTAAAAAAAATAATCCAAGAGCAGGATGGTTCTGTTTAGTAAATTACATCATTTTTTATTTTGACGCTCTTTTTTAAGGACATTCACCAATCGGAGCACGTTTTGTATTGACATCCAACCTTTTTCTAACCCATTTTTATTTGTAAAATATGAAAAAGCAATTTACAACCTCTTCAAATAATTCACTGTACATTTAGGAAAACCTAACTGCATAGGAAGAAGCATAAAATTGGTGCTTCAGACCTGCACCAGCAGCTCCATTAATTTAAACTGTATATAATATCACACTAAAATATTTTATCAGTGACTTTTTTTTTTTTTTTAAAGAAATTTTATTCCTTGGAGGCAATTTGTACTTTTACTCATCTACACTGTTAAATACGTGACTCCTACTAGTTTGGATTTTGAAATAAAGCACAAAAACTCGTAAAATTCAAAGATAGAAAATAAACTTTGAGTGCAATATTGTAACTGGATCGTGGTCATTTAATTTGATTGATTTTACCAGACATTCGATAAAGAAAATTTATCAGAATAAAAAAGTTTGCAGTAAAAAAATCTATTACATAATATATTCATGCTTTATCTTTAATAGTAACTATGGTTTAAGAATATGGGAGCACGCACTACAAAAGCCCAGTAAAGTGGGTCTTGCTAAATTATGTAATCCCTTTACTTTGTGTCTAATCCAGTTTAAAGAGCTGCAGTTTTAGGTCTGGTTAAGACCCACATGATCCAGCTATTCTGGGTTAAATCTCATATCAATATGGGAAAAATGCAGCCACAAAATATTGCATGTGTTATCATGTGTAATGCGCCAAGAGTGGAAGGAGTCTGGGGGTAAACAGGGACTTTCAGTAGATAAAACCATGTGCTGAAGTTCTCACCTGGCCCGGTTTCACAGGTCATAGGATACTGCTCAATATGAGGACGAGCACCGTCTGCGTAATATGCCGCCTCATGGACCCACCAGTATGGCCTCTCCCCGAACAGAATCCTGAGGAACCAACAGAGACATGCATTCAGGTATGGTCCAAACACACCTGATCAAACATTAGCTTGAAAATGTCAAAGATTTAGTTGACCCACCATTTAAAGACCAGGTTGAGCCAGTCTCCAATCACAGCCACCCAGATGAGCTTAACAGCCACCGAGGACCGCAGGTGAAACCAAAGCGGGAAGAAGATGAAGAAGGTGTTCCTGAGGTCAGCCGCCCAGGACACCCAGAGGAACAGACCCTGGGCATCCTGATAGTTGGTCTGCAGGTAGTGGGTGGTGCTCACCCCAAAGCCCTGCATGGAGTCCATAATAGCATTTATAGTGTTCATCTTGGAGAGAGACGAACCTCAGTGCGGTGGTGCGTGAGAAGGACAACAAGAGTGTTGCTATCAGTAACACAGCTGGTTGGCTTTATACTTGAGGGACCCACCACCCAAACGCATGCTCACGCTGATCTTTGGACCTTGCACATGAGTAATAAAACACTGAGAGAAGGGAGAGTTTGGGAGGTTTCCACACAAACAAGAACAAAAGATAGCAGGAGAACAAAACAATAATTGGTCACTTTATCAATGACATACTATACACAGCAAGACGTGAATGATCGCAAACAAACCAACATCATATTGAGTGTTATTGACTTTGCATTGACCTGGGAAAATATTGTCTCTGTGTGTTTTGAACCAACATTCAAAGTTCTGAAATAGTGAGGTCCAAAATAATTTTCAGACTACCTTTTTAACTTTCAGCTAAAGGAACTTGGCACTTTTTATTTTTAGACTTTTAGCGGTTCAAGGTAGCGTCTGAAATCAGTTATTTAACTTTTGTAGCTGACCATATTCAAACGCAGCTTGTTTCTACTGTTTTTACATAAGAGAGAGATGCTAACAAAAGGATTAGATTATATGTTCAAAAGGAAACTTGACTTTGTCAGAATTTGACCTCTGAGGCTTCAGTTTAGCTTAAAGGAAGGTAAACACAGGCCATGTTTGCAGACTCCATTTCAGCCTCAAAAACAACTTATAATTGAAAATTTCTCCTCCATTTAAAGGACATACACATATTTGAATAAGGACATTTTTGAAGTGAAAAGTGATCCTCAGCTTTTAGCTGTTTTAGCCTTTAAGATACTTTTAATTCTAAACATAGATAACATTAGATTTAAACAGTTTTCTATCTATTATGTCTCAGATTTGGGATAGATTAAATACATCTATCCTATCTGTTGACATCTATCGAGCCCATATTACTGTATATTAAGTAAAAAGATATTGAAAAAAAGGTAAAGTCAAAGCTAAAAGTAATATTAGCATCAGCTGTTATCTAGTAGATGCCAATAGGCTATCAAATAAATATTTTTTTCTATCTCTTTAAATTAATACTTTATATTACCAGTTGCTTGTGTATTTAGAAGTGATGGAAAAAGCGATTTCTGTGATAATTTACCTTCTACCCTGAGTACAATTCCTGATGAAATTAGTCACTATGTGAATAAGATGGTACCTCAAACCATAAAACATACTTACAATAGATATTGAAGAAGCTAGCAAATTAAATACATACAAATATCTAGCTGCTGTTGATGGTTACAGATTTCCCTGTTAAGGCTTAAGAAATAAAATTCACTCTGTTGAACTTTTCTCAAATTGCTATATTTTATTATTTAATTTTTAAATTTATTTTTTAAAGTATTTTCCCCCTATTTCCTATATAATTTTTCAGATTGATTTAACTAAATTACCTTTTTTTTTTTTTTTTTTTTTTACTTTTAGTTTTACACTTGATTCAGTTTTACTTTCCATCTTACTGTCATGAGATTATCCTTTTTTAAATGTCCATCTTTAACTATTTTCATGGGCTTTTATTTCCTCTGTTGTGAAGCACTTAAAGCTGCATTGCCGGTACAAAATGGAGCTATACAAATAAAATTTATTACTATTGTTAATTGACTTCTTAGGTTGAAATAGTCCTCTCTCCTGTGCTTAGATCAGTGCTGACAGTAACCTACAGAATACCTTCCTCTATAATGTTTACCATTTATGAAGTCACTCAGTAATAATTTTCAGTTATGTAAATGTTTTTTTCTTTTTTCGATGATTTGGTGAAAACACCTCTGCTGCAGGGGTTACATAAGGAGATCAATGATTAAGTGATTGGCTATGAACTAAGTAGACGCTGAGGAGATAGGTGGAGATAAGAGGAAACACAGATTGCTTTTTTTTAATTATGACCAACATCTCGCAGTAAAGTCTGAGATAAGCTCATGTCGGTTGAAAGTATGTTTGCCTGTAGAGTTCAGTAACTCTCTCCTATTTGTAGGAACAAACATACTGACTCTGTAGTTGCGTGGAGCAGAAACGGTGAGCAAAAAAAAACCCTGATTACGTACGTTTTTTGGATCAGAAAAGGGATTTCCTAGAAGTCTGATCCGTCAGAGGGGCGGCAGCTGATCTCTGTAGTGATGGGGGGCCCCAGGAGAGTAAAGGTTAAGGAACCTGCCTGTACTGTCCCAAAGGTAAACAGAATATGCCAGCCATGAGTAAAGTCCAATGGGGATCATGCAGTAGCAACAACCAAGCTTGACAAAAAGGATTTAGATCCTAGATTTGGTCTATTACCCACAGACAGAGGCTGTGATATTATGGATCTTCTACACAGCTGGGGGGTCGAGCTGGTGGTCCATTTGCAGACCAAATACAGCTCGTATGAGGGCTTGTTCAGCCTGGCGTCCATGGTGGCTGATCTACACACTACTTTCTTCTGGTTCTTCCCAATCTGGTTCCACCTGCGCAGGGATACAGGACTCAGGCTCATTTGGGTGGCGGTGATCGGGGACTGGCTTAATCTGGTGCTGAAATGGTAGGGTGTTAAAATGAAACCACAAATTCAACCAAAAGACATAAAAAACAAACAATTGCATCCATAGTTTTTTGCTCTTTCAATGGCAGGGTTCTGTTTGGAGAAAGGCCGTACTGGTGGGTTCATGACACCCTCTTTTACGGAGCAGGACCGACCCCTGCTCTGCGGCAGTTTCCCATCACATGTGAGACTGGACCAGGTGAATATTACCGAACGGAGCGCATGATGGTTGTCTTTTTCATGTAGAACTGACTGAGTTTGACCGTTACTGTGAAATGACTAATCTGGCACAGTGAACTATCAGCCTAGTGAGGCTCAGATGGAACCTGAAGTGTTTGCCGAGTGAAATGGATATCATCTAAAATGTGATAACAAGGCTATAAATTACAGCACCTTTGTCCTTTTATTATGCTTCAAATCTTTCAATCTGAGTATACTGATTTGGATTATACAATATCCCCCTTTGATCAACACACTTGACTGAGTATAATTTCTGTCAGCACTTGTTCACATAGATTTACAGTAGTTCAGCACTTTAGTTAACGGACAGTTGCAATATCACATTTTTACGTCACTCATTGTGCTCTAAAAAAAAACCCCAGACCATCCAAAATTTAAGGGAAAAAAACAATGTCAAATTATGGAAAGCAAAAGAGCCTTGAAACTTGTTACTTCATCAGCTTCACAAATAAACAAAACTGACTTACTTACATGTTGTCATCCATTTCTAGTCATGTTCGAAGTTTAATCCAGGTCAGGAACTTCTTTAGAGAGATTGCCTCATTAAGCAGTTGTTTCTTATGCTTTTATTTTGATGTTATTACTAGTTTTCTTTATATCCTGTATTGTAAAAACATGCCTTATACCTGTGTCTTACTTTAGTGCCCCCTGCTGGGTACCACATATTGTGTTGATTTGTAGTTAGCCCAACTTGTTGAAAGTTGATCGATGTGGTGATCAACATTGAGTAAACTTCTATATATAATACCAAAATCTTTCGTGATGATATTGATCATGCTCTCAAGCTAGCCTGTAGCAACAGTTTGTGGTGTAGCGACGCTATCCCACAGTTAGCTAAGTTTTTGCTTTATGTGTTCAATCATTTTTCAGATTTCTTCTGGGAGAGCTAATAGACCTCTGTTGTTATTTGAATAAACCCTAACCCTTTAATATGAATGACTGAGTTAATCGATGTGGTAGGAGCACAATAATTTCCCAAACGACTAATCACACATGACATTTTGGTCATTTGTTGTTTAGTATGTTTTGATGTGTCACCATCTTGCATGATAAAGTTATAAAAATCAACATTAAAGCTGGAATAGTAGCTGATTAAAACTGTAAATAAGTCAGAGTGTATTTCTGCAGGAAGCCCTTCGGGTCACGCTATGGGTGCCGCTGGGGTTTGGTATGTGATGGTAACAGCAACATTGGCTACTGCGACAGAGAAGCAATGCCCCCCTCTGCTATACAAGTGAGTGTGGTAATACCTGTAAAACGTGGACAAATATGCATCTAGATTACCGTTTTGTGTCTGTAAATATTTGTTCACTTTCTGTTAGATTCTTGCAGGCAGGACTTTGGAGTCTAATGGGTCTGATATTGGTGGTGGTCTGCATGTCAAGAATCTATGTGGCGGCCCATTTTCCACACCAGGTCATAGCAGGAGTCATCACAGGTTAGTTGAGTCAAAAACATTTGTTTGAAGATGTGTTCATGAAACTTTTCGGTGAGTTTTGTAAATTAACCGTAGAGGGCCTGTTGCTCCATGGTCCATGACACTTTGCAACGATGCAGTGTTCCTTCTTCTGTAATTTTGTTGCAGGAGTACTTGTAGCGGTGGTTGTCTCCAAGCAAAGAAGCATCTACAGTGCCAGCATGAAGAGGTATTCCTATATCACCCTCTTTTTGACCTCCTTTGCCGTTGGCTTCTACGTCCTGCTCAAATTTTTGGGTGTGGACCTTCTTTGGACGATGGCAAAGGCCCAGAGGTGGTGTGTGACACCTGAGTGGGTCCACCTGAACACCACACCCTTCGCCAGCCTCCTGCGTAACATGGGCACCCTGTTTGGCCTGGGTCTTGGTTTGCACTCGCCTCTCAACACGACGACCAAGAAGACACACAGTTTCAGAGTGGGATGTGTCCTAGTCTCCTTATTTCTTCTACAGCTGCTGGATGGGTGGACATTTTCCTCAGAAAATCTCGTGAGTTTTTATTTCCTGTGTTTTGGTAAAAATACAGTTGCACTTTCAATCCCAACCACTCTGGTGCCCTGGGCTCTCAGCGGGATTTTCAGTGGAAAGAAAGAAGACAAGAACTTGTGATCGAGAACCAAACTGTGGTTCGAAGTTAATAACAAACACAGTTTCTCTTTATTTTCTGTATCATTTCACTTTATGTGTTACTGTTGTATTCAGAAGACGGACATTTTCTTGTGGCATCTTGATAATTTGAGGAGCTTGAACACTTTGATAATGTTGTACGGCAGATTCTTAGTTTAAAATAAGGGAATATAATTATTTCTGTTGCTGTATTTACTGTTTTTGAACTGATAGACAAGAAAATGTAGACAAGGTATTCAAAGGAAGACAAGACTCACGCACAAAACAGCCAGTTCATAGCTAAATTAGCTAGCCTTAGCCACTCATACCTTTCCTATTATCTCCTTGAACTAAAAAACTTTAAGGTTAACTAAGGAGCTTAACATTAGCTGTTGTCTGGCATAAGCTCCAGGCATTTTAACCACAAGTTAGCATGTCACATCTTCTTGTAGCTTGTAACTTGTAGACTTACTAAACGAAACAAGCACAATGTTAGCTAGCTCTGGATTTGCTAGCTAGTTACATTTGCACAAAGCTAGACAGTTTCCTCATTTCTAGATTTCGCACTTCCTGTTTCAGACTTTCAAAACGTATTTCTGGTGGCTCCTTTATGTTTGTTTTTCATCTGCTCAGGACTTTTGTAAAACTTCATTTTTATACAAACAAAGTTAGCGAACAAGACCTAAAATTTTGTCTTTGTCTTGCTTGAATAATGTAAAAAAAAATATGTTGTTAGCAATAGGAATAAAAACTGTTTTATAACCACTTGCTTTCTGTGAGGATGTTTACTCTAAATACTGTCCGGTATCCCTCTACGCTTTCTCCGAATGTCTCAGACTGATTAATTCCCCGGTTGGAACAAGTATTAAATATTAACCTGAGCATGCTCCCTTCACTCACTGACCCAACATCGGGCTTGCCTTCACCACAAGCTTTCAAAAAGGAACATGGAGGGTCAAGGGGCAGAAAGCATCACAGACAACACGTGTTTCCCTTAAGGCTCTAAAAGTAGTACATTGCTCGAGGACGTATGAAAGTAAGGCTGGATGTGTGGGACTGATATCAGCAGGACTTTAGAGACAGACACACCTCTGCCACTCAGCCAATTAGATACCAACCTTTTATATAATCTGTGACCAAGTGCACTCACCTGAAAATGCTGAAAGTACGGAATGTGTAAGGCTTGGTTGGTGATCCTTAAAAGGAATATTTACATCAAATCAATGGGTCATTCTGGGTAAAAGTGTCAGGGGTTTACTTTTATTATGTGAGCGGAAAGATGTTTAATTTAATGACAGTAACTGTACTGCACACAGCAGGTAGAGCAAAGGTGAGACACAAACATGAGACCCCTTTTGGATGACATAATGGTCCTGACCGGGTGATGTTTCCCACAGCGAATCCCAGGTCTCATTTCCAGCTATCTTATCTCTTTTCCGTTGGTTATCTCCAACGGTGTACACAGGCAATAATCCAGGAGTTTTTTTATTTTTTACATTCTCTAGCCTATTTATAATGCTCCCTTACTCCAGGACAAAAAGCAGCTGTGACGCACCAATCGCATTTTTTCCTGCGTGAAAACGTCCATAAATTCATAATAATGTTGTGTACAAAAAATGCACACTTCTTCGTTTTTATCCCTTCATTGCATCTTGAACGGGCGCCCACTTAATTAGAAAAACGTGTGTGATGGAGGTTTGTCCACAGTGACACTAGTGGCCTCCGTACGAAGGCACTGCGCCTTCAAAAATCTCTTAAGTTTTATTTATTCATTTTTATTTCATCATCCCTCCTTTAAGTAAGGTGATGGTGGTATAGGGGTAACTGTAGCTGCCTTCCTGGCTGTTGGCCCAGGTTTGAGTCTTGATCCTTGCATATTTTTGCTAGCTTTGTTTTCGTTTCGTTTTTTAAATCTCAGATATGTAGCTTTCTGGAAAAATTAATAGTTTATATAGTCTTAACAAATGCGAACCTAAAAATAAAGCTTAATCAAAGTTAACTGCTCATTAAGAAATTTTTACAAACACAATAATTTCAAAAAGGAAATCAAAAATCTCTTATCAAAAAAAGTTTTATTCAATAGATACATGCCTCTACATCAAAGATGCTTTGGTGACTTATGAATTTTCACTGAAAACAATAAGCCTGAAAACCTTAAACCTGCTTAATCTCCAGAATTTGGTAAAACTACACTGCAAAAGCTATAACATTTCAAAGACAAAGAACGAAACCATGAAACGGCATCTGTGTTGTGTATCTTTGAAGTGAACCTCCAGCTGCAAAAAAAAAAAAAAGTCTTATTTACAAGACTAAGAGAATAAAAACAAACAAACAATCAGAGAAGCATGAAAGAAACCACTTTAAGAGCTATAAATGAGGCGATTTCACAAAGATGAGGACAAGATGTTTAATTAAAATTAAAAAATACATAGCGCTTTATGTTTTCTATGGGCTATTTCCCCACTTTCCGAGAGAATATTTATGTCGTCAAAGGATTTAAAACAAGTCAAATATTTTACAATTAAAACAAAAACGTGCACTGTGTCCATCTATGAAAGCTAGTTCCGTTTCTGTACTGGGCTGGGTTGATTGTACTGAAGAGTGTGAATGTCTAGTTGTAGTCCTGTGGACCGGGACAAGGCTACTGCAGCTTGACATGGCATGATGGAGGGAGGGACGAGAGGGGTGGTAGAAATGGGAGGTGGAGACAACGATGAGTGGATGAACATCAGTACAACGCGTCAGCATTACTGCTTCGTGGCCTCTTGATCTTCTCGATGTTCTTCAGGATCATGTCGTGTAACGTAACCTTTATAGAAAAAAGATAAAAAGATTAGGTGATTGTGTAGAAAAGTGGAAAAAGCTACTCTCAAGAAAAAGGATTATACTAAAAGAAAAATGAAAAATGAAGATCTTTACTCACATATTGATTTCGAAGCTCCGAAACTATGATCTTCAGACTGATGTATTCCTTCTCATCAATCTCAGTGACTGTGCGCCGATAGTCCTCCTGAAACAAGTCCACATTGACATTTATATCCATCTCTGTTTATATTACACTGAACATTAAAAAAAGTGGACAAAACTTTTTTTTTCCTTTCACAGATTTTCTTTAAATGTAACCCATCAAAAGCAATCTATAGGCCTTAAAACTAGTGGCAAAGTCAGAGCAAACTTCATATGCAGACAAAAATAGATTTAGAGGCCTTAAAAAAATTCAGAAAAACCACTGATAAAAAAAAATTCTACAGCAAAGAAGTTTGCAACAATTAAAGTTGCAGTTCGTCACATATGGACTGAGATTTGTGCCGCTGGAAACCGAAAATAATAGATTATTTTGCTGAATTTGAGCACAGATTCACATCTACGGTCTGTCAAATGAATTAAGTTTCAAAACATTAATTTCAATTTTTAATCATGCTTTTCAAATTCAACATTATTATTCAATTTCAGTTTGTAGTGGCACAAATCTCAGCCCATATTCACGGCACTAAAGAAAATTGCAAATTCCTGACGTGCTCTGCACCGTAATGACTGCTCTAAGCTTTACAAACCACCAGATGTCACTGTGGGTTTTTGTTTTAAGCTCCCCCGGACCAAACTGCTATATATCCCAGAAACTCTGGTCATGTATGCAAAGACATGCCTTGACATTTTTAACATCTGACTGTTGTTTTTTTTGTCCTCTTCTGAAATCTAAATCTTGTAGGACATTGTTCACTTACCACGTGTGGATATTTTGCTATTTTAGAAACCAGCTTTGCCCGTGTGATGTAGTATCTGAAAGAAAAAAGCAGAACCAATTTATAAAACCATATAAAAACATTGCATCTGTCTTACATCTCGAAGTGTATGAAGCAGGGTATTATCAAAACTCCTACTAACCTTGAAATCTGATCCAGGTAGGATGCCGCCTCCCCTTCAACTGTTCTGAGTTCAGCTACCGTCTCCTCCTGGATGGACACTCCAAAGTTGTTTCCATCTTCTATCCTGGGGATGAGCAGCTGAACCCACATTTTGACCTGCAGAAGACAAGAAGAGTGCTTAGAATCAGCACAGGTAAATGGAACTAAAATATGGCCTCTACAGTCACAGTAACTATGTGGAAACTTCAGGGTCCTCAGTTACAAAAATACTCTCAGCCTTTACTTTACATGTTTGTGTCAAAATCTGACTTACTGTGTTACATTTCTCTATGAGCGTCCTGATCTCTGGTTTAACCTTTTCAATAAGGTCCACAAGGTTTCCGTTGCTCTTCATCATCCCACCGGGCATGACAAAGACCTTGGTGCCGGTCACTAGAGGAGAAAAACAAGGGAGGGTGGGTAAATAAATAAAAAGGTTGCTTATGGATCCATTCAAACTCTTTATTTACCTATTTAACATCGTTTACTCACCCTTATCCTCCCCACCATCCTCGAGCTTTCTCTTTTTGGCATTTTGCTGTTGAACAAATTAAAAAAAAATTCTGCTCAGCTCAACATATCAGTAGTTCTCTTTTTAAACTTCATCTACAATTCTAAAATGAGTGCCTCACCCCCTCTAAACCGTCATGCAGGTCTGAGAGCAGGATGGGGTCTGGCACAGTGAGGTTTATCTCAGAGTGGATCTCCTTCAGTTCACTGATGTTTATGATAGGGTCCTGAATAAAGCAGAGAAAAAGAAACACATTCAAGACATTTATCATGCTGCTTTGAAAATCATGGTCTCCACTGTGGAAATATACATTTGCCAACAATCACATGTAGCTATAGCAACATATTCAAGGAGTGTGGGTGTTCTCTAATATTCTGTTTTATATCTGCTGTTCATTTGTAGATCCGTTTTGGCCAAATGTGTGTCAGCAGACTTTGGTGTTTGGAGCTACATGTTGATTTATTACCTCCATAAACAACACAAGAAGGACAAAATAGTACAAAGCAGCAAAGAACAGAGCAGGGCTTGTCTGTTTGTGTTACATTTATTACACTCTCTTGCTCTTTATTTATGCAAAAAAGCGTTGTACTGCCTTTGATAATCATCTTTGGATTTCCTTTCTTTCATGTGCCATAAAAGATGCACATATGCTGTTATTGAACTTACCTTGAGGAAGTGATCAAGTTCCAATAACTTCTTGGGGAAAAAATTCGCAACTAGATCCTCTGCCTAGAAAAAAAAAAGTACATGTAAAATTTCTCTCTTGTAGAAATCATACAGATTTACAGCAGTGTGTATGCCCGTGTTTACATAACATATCGATGTTAAATCAATACTTACTTCTGAAGTGATTCGTTCCCTGAAAGCATCGACCTGCAAATACAACACAGCCAAAATATGAGATCCATTACAGCAAATGATCAAAAGTATGAGCAATCAGGGGACCTTAAGAGGAGCAGGAGGATCATAAGACTCAAGAGTTTGTTTATTAGATTAGCACAGTAGGTCCTTTAAGTAAAACAGGGACATTAATACTTCATAAATCTAAGAATTGCCCTTCATATTTAAAAGAACTCTTGATCCATACAACTCCCCATACTCTCTTAGAGATATGAATTAACCATTTTTCTAGAATTTTCTAGAATCTTTCAGTAAATTATTATTATTATTCAGTAAAATTCTAGCAGCAGAGTTTTGGATCAGCTGTAGCTGGTTTATTGTGCTTTTGGGTAGACCAGAGAGGAGAGCATTACAGTAGTCAAACCTGCTGGTTATAAAAGCGTGCATTGGTCTCTGGCTCAGAGAGAGTAACGGTTGTACTTTTGCAATGTTTTTAAGATGGTAAAAGGCTGTTTTAGTGACCCCCTAGCATGAGTTTTAAAGTTAAAATCAGCATCAAAGACCAACCCGGGATTCTGTGCTTCTTGGCTGGGGTTAAGTCCTAATCTACCTCTTTCTTTGCGTTCAATTACTTCAGAATGGAACTACACTGTCATCTCAAAACAAATTGATCATAAGTGAAACCGTATCTTATTCTCTGCATTTTATTTCTGAAAATATCGGCGGAAATCGGCGAGTTTTGCCGATTATCGATTAGTCTCAAACGGACTAAAATTGGCCGATCGGCTCGCCGATAAATCGGTCGGGCCTAATGTGTACACATGTGTGACCAATATGTACGCACATTTGGATAGAGTTCATTGATGTTATTGTTGCTGCCTTTTTATTTTTTATTAACTTATTTGTTTGTTTGTTTGTTTGCTTAGTTTTCTTGTTTTGTTTCTTTGTAATGTGCTTGTCTGATTCTGAGCTCTTTATTTGTTGGTAGACAGATATGTTTATTTATTTTACTTTGGTTTTTTGTTCTTTCGCTTTCTGTTCTGTGTCCCTGTAGGAAATTATGTGGTTAAAAAAAAGCAGATTTTTTTCTTTTTTGGTGGTTATATCAATATGAAATAAGAAAAGATGTTGAAATAAAAATCAAATTAAAGCTGTTATAGTGGGTAACATGGCGCAGGTGTGAGTTGGCTAAATTGTTAGCTCGGGCCTTTCAGAGCATGTGGTCCACCATGAAGTATAATAACATAAAATAATGTTTCAATACAGCTTTTCTGTCTCCGATCACGAGTTCAGCTTCACTGTGATACAACAACTGTTTGACAGGTGTCCTGAAGCAGGCGGGAAACAAGCCGGTAGGCCGCCGTTAGCTGCTATCAGCCCGGCCTGATCTGAGCCATCACATCATGCTACAAAAACGTGGCTAACATGTTAGCATACAAATAGCAACAACAACACGCCGTTTAAACCTTCGCGCCGGTTCAACGATGACAAACCTCACCTTGGTTTTAATTTCATTGTCCACCTTGAGGAGTGAAGACATCTTATGGAGTCAAACAGGCGAAGAACGATTGTCCCAACAGCATCAAATTCACTCGTAAACGTGTGGCTTTTCACTTGTCAGCCACACTCTTCTTGAGCTTAATGATGACGGAGTAAAAGCGCGCCGCGCCGATGCGATGCTTTCACCGCGCCTGCGCGAAACGTCACCGTATTTTTCTCGACGCAGCTGACGATGTAAACAAGAGAAGACAGTCGAGGGCAACAGGGAGCAAACAGGCCGGTATCACCGCAAATGGTAGCCATTATATGTTCGTAAACGGCTGACATGGGGCTGCCTGTGACTATTAAAGTGAATTTTCGGGGGAATGTGAAGAGGTTCCTGGCCCAGGATTTGGATAAATTGGAGTGGGAGTCCGTTGAAGCCTGGGTAAGCTGCTAGCGGAGCGTGTTGGCTAAACGCTGGCGCAGTTTGGTGGAAAGCAGGCCCGGACATGGCCTAGGCACGTAAACAAAAGACCACCTGAAGGACAGTCGATAATAAAACATCAAGATGTGTTTATAAGTGGTGATGTTTAAGCTGGGGAGTATGTTAGGAAATCAGCGATATGTCCTGTTTTTGCTGAACTCAACGTGCAGATATTGATGTTTTTATAACACGTGTAAGAGGAGGGAAATGGTCTAAATCTGATCCTAGCCTCTTTATTTTTACAGATTAAAGCATCTTTTGGGATCAACCATTTCCAAGTGAAATACTTCGATGAGGATAATGAAGAGGTAAGGAGGGAGTGTCTGTAAATATTTGCATTGCTGTAGCTGTGGCTGTAGTGTTGTTATCTTTCATTACAAGTATTATAATCATGGTTTACTTGGGTGTTACAATATTGACTCATTCTGATCTTATTCATTCTGTTTCAGATCTGCATAAACAGCCAAGGTGAGTAATTTGCTTTTAACTTATTTATCTTAATCTTAGTATGTATGTGAGAAAGGATTTAACTCATAAAAGTGAGTTGAAAGCTCTTGTGAGGAATTTTCTGTTGGTTGTGAAACTTAATTTAATGTTTCTGTGATCTATTTAGGCAGACCAGACTTCTGTAAAGTTAGTTTTTATGTGTGTCAGGCAAGGATGTTAACAGCAGGCTACAGAAATAGACTTTTGTACCTTTTCCACAGCAGAGTTTATAAAATGTAGGAGTTCATAGTAGAGGTTTTTCACCAGGAACACAATTTAAATCTGTACAGAACAAAACAAGCAGGCACTATATATGTTGCTGTGTATTTATATCAGCAAAAACCAGGAGAAACTCACAGGTAAATTATTAATGTTGATCCTCTTTACTACCTACAGAAACAAACAAAAACCAACAGTTGCAAAAAGTGGTTTCTTTGCCTTATCATTTAAAACCTGCGATGGAGCAAATTCAAGTATCAAAGCCTTTTATAGGTGGAAAAAACGTATTGTTATTTTTCGTAGTATCTGTGTGAGAGAGGATTTAATTCATGAAAGTGAGTTGAAATCTCTTGTGAGGAATTTTCTGTTGGTTATGAAACATAATTTAATGTTTTGTGATCTACTAAGGCAGACCAGACTTCTGTAAAGTCAGTTTTTATGTGTGTCAGGCGAGGATGTTAACAGCAGGCTACAGAAACAGACTTTTTCTTTTTCCACAACAGAGTTTATAAACTTTAGAAGTTCATAATAGAGGTTTTTCACCAAAAACACAATTTAAATATGTAAAGAACAAAACAAGCAGACATTAGATATGTTCCTTTGTATTGATATTAGCAAAAACCAGGAGAAACTCACAGGTGAATTATTAATGTTCATGCCTAAAGGAACAAACAAAACCAATAGTTACAAGGAGTAGTTTCTTTGCTTTGTCATTTACAGTCCATGAAAGGGCAAATAAAAGCATCATAGCCTTTCTATAGGTGGGGAAAAAAACATAATTTTATATTCCTGCTGCAGATTTACACAGTGAGTGAATGTTTTCTGTTTTTCAAACCCCTCTCTGGTTTGTACGGGTCAAAACTACCAAAAAAGTAAGACACATCAATTTGTCCACAGAGGCTTTAAAATCTGCATTAAGGGAAAGTTCAGTTTGTGTTCATCAGGCATCTTGTTGTAACTGTTTTTCTTCACTGATGTAGTCCTACAGAGTTTTCATGAAGACTTTCAAACAGCTTTTTTTGTTTAACAGTGTAGTCTTTGTGTCACTCGTCATGAATATTTGTCCCGTGACGAGTCAAAGAGGGATGATCGAGCAGCTTACTGTGACTCACTTTTTCTTACACTAACCCTGCAGCAGTGATGATAGGCCCATAAACAGCTTTACAGATACAGTCATTCATGCTGTTAATGATCTTGTTTGACTTCATAGGTCATATTGTGACATCAGGAGAAATTCCAATCAGCTTCACAAACACTTAGAAACTTCTCACAGAAGTTTTAAAATAGTCAAATAATGACGCTGAAATGACTCTGTCCATGAAACTTACTGTTGTGTTGTTTTTGTTGTAGATGAATATGAAGAAGCCATCAAGGTAAGAAACACTATTTTTAGCTCATTTCAAAAGCACATGAATGGCGAGGTAGAGGAAATCAGTCAGTCAAGTGAGAAGGGAAAAGGCTTTGTTTGAATTGGCTGAATATTTCTATGTACACAACAAAACAAGAGGAAGAATGTGGTCAGGGTCCATTCTGGTTGGTTTAGATATGTTCCATTCACAGTACAATAGGAGTGAGAAAACGTCTTTTAACAGACCTGAAGTCAGGTTTCGAGAGAGAAGCAATAAAGCAGCCAACACCACTTGGCAGGAAGGTTAAAGTTAGCTCTCAGGGGATTAAAAAGTCTGTTGAGTATGGAAATGACACGGCCTCACAGCATGGTGTCAAACAAACGCATGAAAAAGAGATCACCACAGGGGTGACTTCAGACTTTGATTAGCACTGTCTGAACCGATGAAAGAAGCTTTGTTTCTATTCTGAATTTACAAGAGTGTGTTGAAGCCTAGCGGATAAGTGTTGAACGAATGAGGTGTTTAATGTCAATAATCAACAAATCAGATTTAAAAAAAGAGATTTATTTTTGAGGGTTTCTTTTCCACAGAGGCGTTCATGCATTATTATGTAACAGGGATGTGTGACTGCCCTTCAAAACAAACACAAGGGAAATATGTTACTGATCCAGTGGAGCAGCTTTCACATAGTAACAGTCGACACAGTACAGAGAGGAAAACAAAGACTGGACATCACGTTTTGCAAAGTCACGTCATAATATCTAGATGTAAATGATCTTTTTTACATTTTGTATTAAGTGAGTCTCCTGTCGTGTGTTTGTGTTTCTTGTTGGCATGTTTACAGAGCGCAGAGAAGCAGGGGAACCAGCTGCACATGAACGTGTACAAGATGAAAGGGCAGGCATGTGGAGGCCCTCTGAAGACAGAGGTGAAGGAGCTGAAAGGAGACCTCCGCCCTGCTCCTCCTTATCCCTCCAGAGTCAAAACAGTGGACAAAGGCACACAGGTCACCCCAGAGAGAGAAGCTGTAAGGATGCTCCTCCTCTGTCACTTCTAGTTTTCTGTTACATGTGCAGAATCACTTCATCAAACACAGGATTACTCTTTAAAGGGGAAAAACTGCAGGGAAAGAAACAAACCACTACATAAAAGATTTGATGTTGTTAACATTCAAGTTCACACAGTTTCAAGTAATTAATCTTCATATTTACAAAGTGGAAATGACAAAATTGAACTCCTCATTTGCACCATTTTGTGTAACATCAGAGCGCTGCACTTGCTTGGATCTGACGTAAGTCTGATGTGTGTTTATTACAGGTCACAGTGAAGGACAACAAGGGGAACAAACCAGAAGATGAGCCTCCTCCCATGTGGTTTAGATCATACATGGAGAAGGTAAGATTTGAGACTGAATTTCCTGCTTTTAATTAAAATCAAAAAGTAACATTTACTAACAAAAGTTAAACTTTTTTTCATAGTTTAAAGACGAGGTGGTGAAAGAGGTGGTGGAAAGGATGTGCAGTGACTTTTCCGGTCAGTGTTGTACCCACAAAGCCTCTGATGGGCCCCTGGAGGCCAGCGGGGCCACTGGCGGCCTTATGGGGCCCAGGCCTGGCCCTTCCACCTCAAATGGATCTCTTGGCTACACCCCCAACTGCAGCAGCTGCAACAAACTCACCTCTGAAGGGGCTTACAAGTGCAGGTAGGCATCAGAAAAGATGGTTTTCAGAGTGTCTCACCAGATTTGTTCAGATTTTTAATTTCTTAATGACCTTTTTTATAATCTCATTTCCATAAGGGTTTGTAATCTGTGTGAGAGGATAATAAAAACAGGTTTTTGATGATATAAAGCCTTCGTTTTAATTGAAATAGTGCAAACAATGTTCAAAGGAAATACTTTGTTTTATTGGAAACATGTTAAATGTGATTCCAGAAAACACCCCCCAACTATTAACATAGATATTTAACAGGTTTGTAAGACGACTGGATTTGAAAGGATATTAAAGAGAGGCCGAGTCTGTCACAGTTATGAAGGGAAGAGTTTCATCACTCTCTGAGAGACTGTTCAGGGGAAAAGTTAAAGGGTTTCACAATAATGTGGAGGATTTCTGAGGACTTTGTTACAAAACACAGAGAAAAGGTTCAGAGAATCTACAGAAATCTCCAATAACTGAGACTGGAGGACCTTAACCGGCAGACCCTGAAGCAGCACTGACTTAAAAACAGACTTGACCACGATTGGAAATCACTGCATGGACTCAAACTCACCTAGATATCATTGCGTGTGAACGCATTCACAAATGAGCTGCAAAGAGGAAACTTTTTCTATCGATAACTTCTTCTCTATTTACATTTCAATTCATTTTTGCATTTTCTCTTTTTCCTAAAGCAACTGTGTGTCTTTACCGACTGTTTCTTGTGTTTCTTCCCAAGTGTATGCCCGTCCTGCATCCTGTGTGAGATGTGCCGACACAGCCATGACCCCAGCCACAACCTTGTGAGAACCAAGACACCTCTCTCCATCCCTGAGCACGGCATGTCAGGAGAGTTGAGGTAAACCCCCCCAAGACTGAGGATAGACCTCCGTACTTCTTCTTGAAGCAAAGAGACATTTTACTTACATAAGTGCTAGCTCTCTTTTCTGGTCACTTTTTCTGTGTTAGTGATGGACAACGTTAGTCATAGATGCAAAGCAGGACTGAAAACATGTTTTAGCAGCTACGTAACTGTAAATGATTTTTGTGAAAGTGTGTTTTGTTCTTGGAAAATAAACATTTGATAGTCAACAAATAGGTGTTCCTGATGACATTTCAAACCAGGTTTCCAAGGCGAGGAGACAGGACAGTGCGCAAGGCCGAGCGACAGCGCCTCAAAGCTGAAAGGAGGCAGCTCAGAGCTGAAGTGAAGGAAATCAAGAAGAAACTGAGACTGGAGAAGAGGGGGCTGCAGTGGAGCGGGCCCTCTACCTCAGGCAGAGCCAACCTGACAAACACGGCCTCCGCTTCCACCCAGGTCCCAGCTCTGCCCCCCCCTGCTGCCTCAGAAACAGCCTCAGGTCCAGCACCAGCCCAAGGTCCCATCCCCGCCCCGGTCCCTGACCCCCAGGCCTCCAGTCCAGAGTAAGCGCCACCGCGGAAGGGCGTCCGCCAGTGCTGGGTACCTCGAAACCCAGCATGGATGCAATAAAGTCTTTTTTTCCAAGAAAAGAAATCAAAATATGCCATCTTTGTAATCTAGTCTGTATGAGTGTATCGCTGGCTGCTCTGGGGTGGTGGAAATGTTGGAACTACCTCAATGTGAAAACTGCTGCTGCTGCTTCATAGATTTTCTAAGAAAAATTGCTTTTGAGCTGCAAAAAAAAATCTGGGGTCCTGCTTTTTTGATTCGTAGAGAACAAAAAGAGATGGGTGTTATAAGAAACCAGGGCTATTTTCAACAATGCTCTGTACACTTGAAACTAGGGGTCCCGGGGTCTCGCACACGTCCTTGGTGCCCACTATGGCTGCGTTGTTTCTGGATGAAAATCTGCCGGACGGCACCCGTCTGGAGCCTGGAACCAAGTTCATCAAATACTGGAAGATGAGGAACTCGGGCACTATCAGCTGGACCTCAGAGACTAAGGTACCCCTCCCACCCGCCGAGAGGACAGGCCCCACTCTCTCTTTGCCCCCCCCGCTTCACTTCCACTCTGAGCCCACACTCAGCTCATAAGCTACTTTCTTATCTTCTAACACCAGCTTAGATTTCTTACCCAGCCTAATACGACTAATGCCCCTTCTGTCTGAGATTTTTTGATTTGATTCAGTTGATTCTGTGTCGTCGTTTAAGTTTTTGAGTCTGTCGTCTGAGTGTGAGTGAGTGAGGCCTTTTTCCTTCTCTTGAGTGTGTATTTTTTGTTTCTTTTTTGGTTGCATGCTTTTGTCTTTGTGCCTTTTCGCATGTGTATTCCTATTTTGTGTTCTGTGTATGTGTGTACGTGCACCCAGCTAGTGTTCATGTGGGGGAACCTCGGCCTGGCGTCAGAGGAGCGGAGGGAGGTGCCGGTCCCCCTGCTGCTGCCCGGACAGGTGGGAGTGGTCAGTGTGGCCTTTGTGGCTCCTGTGATGGAGGGGACGTACACCTCCCACTGGCGGCTGGCGCACTGCGGTTGTCAGTTTGGCCCGCGTGTGTGGTGCAGCATCGTGGTCGACCCTGGCGACAGCCGCAACACACTCGGGCATCAGAGCAAACGACTGGCAAGTTTGAAACCTGCTGACTCCCTGTACTGAAAACACCCAGATTATGACTTTGAATGTGTCGGTGCTGCTTTTAAAGCTCCTGTGAAGAGTTTCTAACTGGTCATGAATACAAATGATATCAGGGTTTATTGCTTTGTATGACTGAACGATAAAAAAAAATCACTTTTACAGCCCTGGACGGTTTATTTTAAATGTATTTTTTGTTCTTTCATCTGACGAGTTCCCTAGCAACACAACCATGCTATCCAACCTCTGGATAAGTGCTTCGTTTGAGTTACCTAGGAAGTCAGATGTTGGAGCTCAAAATGACATCACACCCGAGTTACCAGTGTTTCTTATACCAGGTCAGAAAAAGCAAAATCGGAGGCGAAAACAAGATGGCTACATCTACCAAAGTTATTTTAGCGCTTGCCTTGTTCTTGTTATATTCGGACAAGTGCTAAAACAACTTTCGTAGATCTTGCCATCTTGTTTCCGTCTTCAATTTAGCTTATTTCTGACTTGGTAACTGAAACGCTGGTAACTTGGGTGTGATGTCATTTTCAGCTCCAACATCTGACCTCCAAGGTAGCTCGAACGCAGCATAAAGCCCACTGCAAACACTGGAGCACGCTCGTAACGCCAAGGCCAGTTCCTGTCAGACTGAAAATCCATCTCTAGCCTTATTATCCTTGAATATTAGCCTGACTATGAGAGGTTTGATTCCAGTGCGATTTCTAATATGTTGATAAGTTCAGTTTCAGTCAGACTAAGTGGATAAATCGATATTTTTTAACAACATGTAAAAATACTGATGGATCGAACAAAATCAACAAAAAATAATGTGTTTTTATTTTGTCACATGATGAGCCAGAGTTCCTCACAGGAGCTTTAATCTTTACTTTCTTGTAATTTATCTGTATAGACTTTTTAATTTTTTTTTACTATGTTGTGTTCAGGTATATTTACTACAGGGATAATGATTTTACATGAAACCCACTGCACAAGATTCTTATAACACAACACTTACCCTGAGATTTATTTAGTCATTTTGCTGGGAAGAGAATAAAACATGAGTCATAAATTATTATTATTTTAACTCAAACCTTGTAGATTTACGAGTTCAAATTATACGAATAAGGAAAGATCAGTCAGAAATGTTTAGTCAGATGTATCACAGTGTGGGCAGAAAACAACATCACACTTTACATTAAGTTAATTAACTGAGGTGTCCTCTGATTATTATTGATGATATATAAGAAGAGAAAAGATATAGACATAACATATATATTGACAAACAAACAGCTGGTTTTAGAGACACGTGAATATCACGTGACAACTTGAACATGAAGAGTTTTTAATACAGCCGACTAGGAGCAAACAACCTAAAACAAACAGGTGAAAATGGCCTCCGCCCTTAAAGGCTGCAACAGTCAAATCCTGGTCAACACATCACTGTCAGAGTCGAACAATCATAACTGCTGCTGTTGTTCTTTGTTTTCACTCTTGAGAATATTTTAACGTGACTTTTGTAGGTATCTAAATAATTTCTTCAATGTGTCTAATGGTTAACATTTAAAGCTACTATAAGGAGTTTTTATGGTTATAATAAAGACTAAAATCAATGCCAATGTCTTTTTAAGGGGCCAAAAAAAAGCAAACAAGATCTTTTGGGGCAAGATTTCATCTATTTCGATGATTATTTTGAATCCTGTAAAAGCCGCCGTGAGGGGGTAGGTGTCATGCGAGGCAGGTAACAGCAGCCTTAAGAAACAGCCTTTTGTTTATCATTTTCAAAGCAACTTTTGAAGTTTTGTGCAAACACTACAGGATCAGATTAGCAAAGGGGGAAGATGTACAACTTTGTCCACAGGGGGCGCCAAACTCCCTCAGTGCAAAATTTCTACACAGGAGCTTTAACGTAGGAGAGTCAAATTGAACATTTTGGTAAAGTTCAGTGATTGGAGTCTAATAAACGGTCGTGCTTGTGTGCTCACTATATTCACACTGATGATGCTGTCATTGTTTGTGCTTCAGAGGGAGGAGGCAAAGCCAGCAGAGAAGAAGAAGGAGGTCAGGTCTAAGGACAGCGGCCCCGGCTTTGCTGTAGACTTGAACCATGAAGACCTGTACTTCCCTTCAGTAGACCTGCTTACTGCACAGGTGCACACTCACACTCCATTTACACAACCACGACTACTACATGCACTTCTCACAGTGTCAGGATAACGTCGTTCTCATGATGTGTCTCCTGCTTTATAGGATCTACTCTCATTTGAGTTGTTGGATATAAATATTGTTCAAGAGTTGGAGAAGGTTCCTAACAACACACCTGTGGGTAAGCAAAAAAGACGCTTTAAAACACACATTTCTTCCTTCTGTATTTTAAATATCCGAGTGTTCAGTTGTGATGCATTCCTGCTTTTCACTTTTACATGTAAAGACTGTAAATTGTGTTCGTTCTGCCTCTGTTGCAGCTTTGACACCCTGCATATCTCCTCTGCCTCACGATGTACCAGTGTCAGACAAGGCCCTCACTTCACAGCTGAAGGATGACACAGAGGTCACAGGGGTCAGAAAGCTTTTCGGTGAGACAATTTTTAAACTTGAAAACTCCTGGAATCATTTTCTCTCGATAGTATTAGGGACTTTTTTGACATGTACTTTAATATTTTTATCTATTCACACAAAGGAAGCAGGATTTACGACCTATTCTGCAGTCTGCCATTAGAGGGAGCTCCAAGTGTTTTGGCTTCTCTCTTGAAGGGCTTTTATGTCATTTATGGTTTAATACAGTCCATGCTTAGAGCTAAAGACTACATATTTCTGAAGATGTAGAACAACAGACGTAACATCCTCTGACCTCAGACTGTTTTGTTCTTGTGAATTGTGTGTGTTATTAAAGCTAATTTTTTGTGTTGTGTTTTGTCAAGGAGTGAAGCCCAGGCAGCAGAGGGAGCAGCCGGAGCCCGTAGCCCAGGAGGAGGACCGGGAGGAGGATATCAGCGGAGCTCAGTTCCTCTGCGAGACTGTCATCCGCTCCCTCACCTTGGAGGAAGCCCCTGATCACAGACCCCTGCGCAGAGCCCAGCACAGCAGCCTCAAACCAAAGGGTGAGGAGGATTAGTCCGACTTAACCATGCTCATACTTGATGGCAGAAAGATCTAAAAAGCTGTTAATATCTTTAGATTCAAGTCCTGCTCTCTTAAAGGTTCCCTGTGGTTTTTATTCTCTTACATCGCAGTTGTCTCTCGGGGTCCCAGCTTTCGCTCTGAGAAACCTGTAGACGTAGAGAAGACGGAGAAAATGCAAGAAGCAAAAGAGGAGGTCTGTGCCGTTAGACTCGAGAGTTCATTTCTGCCGCCAAGCTCCGGGCTCAACCAGATCACCAGGGAAGATGAGACAAAACCAGGTCAGTCCAACTTCTAGGATTCATATTTCTGCAGTCAGGCTTTCAGTTCTCTCTTATTTCTCCCCACCATGTTGCCTTTAAAACAAAAATAATCAAAAAACATCTCTTTTTTCCTTTTCAGTTCATCTGCTGGAACCAACAAGTGAAAACCTGCAGATCAGCTCACCTCCTGATAGAGAGGATGAAGAGGTCATGGTCTTGAATGAGATGCAGAACATGAGAGGCCCCCAAGAAGAGAGAGAGGGGGGTGGCAACAAAGGAGAAGACTGGGAAGAGGTGAGGTCTTAGCCGTTTTAGACTAAAATCTGAATCAATTTAGACAGCTGCAAAATATGCTCCTTGTAACGGTGGAGTCATGTGGTGTTGTCGAGGACGGAGGGATATTTTACAGCTAATCGGGTTAATTCGCAACAGGTTAGTAACATGACTGGGCACTCTGGAGCGGCAGAGTCTCTCAGATAAGGAGGAGTACAGGTTGATCGCTCTGTCAGAGAATTTATGAGCAAATAGCAAACACAAAAGATTTCAGCATTTAGAGTTCAAAATATCACAACAAGATTCAGATAATCTGGTGAAATCTCTTTGCAAAGTGACAAAACTGGGACTAAATGGTTGTGAAATCACTGTAGAAGCTAAAACACATTAAAACAAAACGTGACGCAGGAACTCTTGCAACTCCACTGGGTTCAAAATGGACTGAGCCGAAGTGGAAAACTGTCTTGTGATCAGACAGACCCAAATTTTGACTTTCTTTTTGGAAATCGCGGATGCCTCCCTGACCGCCCAGCTTCATCAGTGATAATTTCAAAAGCCAGCATCCCTGATGGTGTGAGGATGCAGAAGCCCCTATGGCACGGCTAATTTACACATTTAGGAACACTGGTGCTGAATGACATCTACAGGTATTTAAGTGACATATGTTGCCACCCAGACGACGTATATTCCGGAAAGACCTTCAAATTTAGGCAAGATAACACCACAGCAAAACCACAGTTTTTTGCAGCAAAAAAAAACTACATCTTAAGCTGCTTTTGTGCAATGCATCCTGGGAAATGAAGGCACAACTGGTGGCACCTTCAGTAGAAAGACCTTGATTCATCAAGTCTCGAAGCATGACTTGACATAAGCTGACTAAATATTTAAACTGCACTGATTTCAGATTGATACAAAAATAGCGAGCATGGTTAAGATCTGGGAGCTTAGAAAAAAGGTGATAAAAGGCAAATCAAGAGTCTAAGGAGTGCTGTGGTTAAAATAACATAATTTTACAATGATACCTTCAAAGACGTTACCATGCCTGTTCAGTCACCTTCCTCTCTCCCTGCGTCTCAGGTCAGCAGCCAGACCTCCTCAGTCTCCTCCTGCGACGATTACATCATCGTCCTCCCAGACTGCTTTGACACCAGCCGGCCTCTGGGTGAGTCCATGTACAGCTCTGCCATGTCACAGCCCGACACCACCACTGCTGCTGCTGCTGCTGCTGCTGTGACTTCAGCTGATCCAGGCGTAGAGGAGGAGAAAGAGGAGGACTCAGAGCCTGATGTAGCAGCACCGCTGAGAGAGAGCCAAGAGAGGACAGAGGAGGTGGATGAAGAGGACACACCTGTAAACACCTGGCTTCCAATCCTCCCCCCGTCCATCCACAGCAGTGTGAACCAGATGCTGTGTGCCTCCCAAACCCTGGACGCTACCACGCTCACCCCTGAAGTGGTGCCACCACCTGTGCTGCCTGAGCCCCTGCTCCCCCCACCGGCCCTGTACTCACCCAGGTCAGACAGAGGATCAGTCACATCACATGAATGCTGTGAAGTTTAGAAGTCTGACTGCAGGCTTGAAACACACTTTTGCAAATGTTTGATATTTCTACAGTTTTGTTTTTAATTTTGGGACAGAGGTCGCCTTCCAAAATTTAAATTTTATCAAAAAATTTCAAAGATTTTAAAACCAGGTACCTCGTCATTAACGAGGAGAGACTTGTAAGCATCCCAAACAGTCTGTATTGTTGATTGTTTTATCAGTTTGTCACATTTTTTAAGACTCAAAGGAAAAAAAAAATTGTCCCATTTTAGAGATTTGAATAAAACCACAAACAATATTTTCCTTTTATTATATTTACACCCTTGTTGTTTCATCCTCATTTGTTTTTTTTTGCAGTGTTGTTTTTGTTGACGATGACGTTAACGAAACTATTTCGTCAACGTCATCGTCAATGAAAACAACACTGCAGAATATATGTTTAGCGTATGACTGATGAACTGCTCATGAATTTTGCAACTCTGTTCGTCGTTCACCACTAACGTTTTCGTCTAGTCTTGTCTCGTCAACGTAAACGCACATTCGTCTCGTCACATTTTAGTCATCTAAGACTTATGTTTAGCTCGTCAACGTCACGTCTTCGTCGTGGAAAAAAAGGAGTGTTGACAAAAACAACACAGTTTTTCTGTATGTTTCAGGTCTGAAGCACTGTACCTGGCCGAGGACCCCAGTCCTCCTGCCTGTGACCCATATGAGCCTCCTCAACCGAGGGTCCACCTAAACTGTGAGTTTCCCTCTCTAAATCACCTCATCTGAGTCTTTCACAGTTTAAAAAATGCACCTCATTGGGGGGGGGGGTTCATTAAGGCTTTGGTTTGAGTGGCTTAAAAATCTCTGCTGACTCACTTCTTGAACATGACTCAGCGCTGAGGTATTTCGGGGGGGTTGCTGGCTCTGTCGGAGCACAGAGGAAACATATTTTGTCCTCTGTGGGGAGACAGGAAGCAAGCTCGCACATAGGCTTCAGGATTTGTTGCTTCAGCAGAACGCTCTGCCCCTCTTCCTCTAATATTGTGTGTGTGTGTGTTTGTGTGTGTGTGGTTGTTTTCTCTTTATTCACTCTGCAGTATCATCTGGTGGTCTGTCCAGATCAGCAGGCTCAGCATCCAGTGCCTTTGAGACGTATAACCCCAGACCCAGCAACGCTTTGCAGCCAAGGTGCAAAACAGCAAAGAGTGAAACCTAATATGCTTGTTCGTTAAGGAAATGCTGCTGTTCTATTTTTAACCCTCTTTATGACTCTGTGTAACATGAACATCCAGCCGCCAACATTTAATCTCATGAGGCAGTTTTTAGACCATTAAGAAAAGCAGAGATGCCCCTCTCTTCTTTAAAGATTGTTGTTTGTTTGTTAAAAATAGAGCACAATGTTCTTGACAGTTCTGTTATGTAACGACCCAAAGTGACCACATCCTTGTTTTTACACAAGGGGCCAAGGAGGCATCACAGAAGGATTCGTCAAGGGGGCCCTTTCTGTGGCAGCATCTGCTTATAAAGCCCTCTTCACTGGACCAAACTGTTCAATACAGGTACATCACACCAGGAGCTCTATCTTATTTTAAATCTGGTCCACATTCATCACAAAATCCCGCACGGTATTTCAGAGGTACTACAGGTTTAAGGCATGTCCATGTGTGAGATGTGTTTTTGCAAGATCTGCGAGGGCTGAAAGCCGTCTGACATTTGGCGTCAGAAACAGGCACCAATGTGGATTTTAGTCTTTTTCATAGACACCAAAAATCTCCTCATTGCAGCTTTAAGTGAGCAAAGAATTACGAAGAGTTATTTATCATATTTTGCCATGCTCTTTTCCTCATAAAACTTGATGTCAAGATCATGTTTCAGAAAATTAACATACATAGAGGTTTCTTAGTGAACTGACCTCTGGTATTTTGGCTGCAGGAGTCTTTTTATACAGTGAGTCACACAAAATATGTCGAGCATGCTCATCTCTTCATCATGGCGTAAACTGACCCAACCCAACTATTACAGGAAAAGTCCCATTTCTCAGCAGGTCAGTACAGATCACCATCTACTCCCTTCTAAAATGCGCAATTCTGGGATTTTAGACAACCAAAGATAGCATGCCAAAAGTACAAGTCTGTTTTAATGGAGCACTTATCAGTGACCCACTTTCTCCAAGTCACTCCTAGAGATAGGACGGCACATTTATGACTTTAACTCGACATTTGTAGATAAACCAACTCACTGTAAAGCTCTGCTTTGAGGCTTTTTTAGCTTCTTTCAGCTTTTTTAACCATCTAGTTTCACTCCTCTCATGATATTATTTGAAACCACAACAGGCTTCTTGTTTTAGCAAAGTGAAGGATTTGGAAACCCCCCTAATCATGACCAAAGAGCTAATAGATAAATCCAGTTAGTGGACATAATGGGACGTTTAGCAGCTAAAGAGACAGATACTGTATGTCCTTTTAGAGGTTGTTAAAGTCCAGCTCAGCGCTCTGAGGGGAGTAAACATTTGAAATGAATGCTACTGCTATGTCAGCTGGATGTCTAAATAGGTAACTGATTCACCATAACAGGTTCATAAAGTGATTAAGTGGGAGTGTTACGTTGCTTTAGCTTTAGTCACTCAGCTGTAATAAGTTGGTTTAAAGAACTGGATGAAAATCATAATATTTAAAGCTCCTGTGAGGAACTTACAGCTTGTGTTGGTTTGGCACCCCCTCTGGACAAAGTAGACTTTGCTCATTTTATCCCCTACAAGCAGAAAATCTCATCCAGCTGACTTTTTAAATTTAAATTTACCATTTATTGAAATCATTGCATGCAAAGAAAGTAAAAACAGAACTTGATCTTCAGCTGCTTGGTCGATACTTACCCTCTCGCACAAGTCAATAATCTTGTTTCTGAGGTTCTTGCTTTCATAGATCATAAAGAGGTATTCATGTGGAATAAAGTCTATTTCATGAAGGTCAAAAATTCCTCACAGGACCTTTTAAAAAAAAAAAAAAAACATCGACATGAAACTTGAACCTTGAGCCGCTAGTTTTCAGCTCATAAATTCTGACTAAAATCAAAGGTTTTCCTTTACTGACTGCAGACACTTTCTTTTATTCTTGTCGTCTTTAAGCTCTTCAAGCATTGTCAACCCCTCTGTGTGTACTCTCCCTTTCCCCCCCCCTGCAGCGAGGCATCGACCCGGCCACCAGACAGGACCCTTCCATGATGGCGATGCTGCTGGAGATGGGCTTCAGAGACCAGCGGCTCAACCAGCGGCTGCTGAGGAAGCACGGCTACAGCCTGCTGCACACCGTCAACGAGCTGGTGCAGATGGCCGAGGACAGCCAGAGCAAAGCTGTCAGCACTCTGCACTGAGGGGTGGGGGAAGGCTGCGAGGTGACGCTTCTTTACTTTAAGGCTTTAAAAAAAAGAGTCACAGGAAGGAGTTTATTTGACTTTAGAATAACATGTAAAAAGAGTATTTAGATTATGAAATGCGCAACGCTAAACCTTTACAGCATCTGGCTTTATATTGAACCCTGTAAAGACAAAACAAAGAAACCTATTTATGATTCCTGCAGGTTTTAGATTTCCCAGATAAGTGACTAATTTATTCAGACTGAGATTAACGATAATAATAAACAAGAAGTCAGTTAAGGTGTAACTTACAAGATCATTTATAAACGGCTTTGCCTCGACTTTAGCTTCAACATCCTGGTCAAATTAACCCCACACACACCTGTAAATGACTATGAATAGCTGTTAACCTTTGCCATGCCTTGTTTACCTTGGCCGTAGAGCCTTCTGTGTTGGTGTAACGCTGCAGGAGCTGTACTCGTGACCAGACATAAAAAAAGTGCGTGTTCCAGCTCTTCATCTTCGTGTTCGTGTGGCTGTCGTAGCTGCTTCCTCGGTGCTGAAAAATATTTGTTTTTCAACAGGGCTTTGGCTTGATTCTTCTCACAAAAAGAGCAGTGAAAAATCGTTGAATGTCACAAAAAAAAAAGAAGATAGAAATGTTCTGAAAAAGCTTGCTCTCATCGGAGCTTCATGGATACTCTGGGTGTTAAGGGTCGGCAGTGCAGTAGTAAGAAAACATTTAAGACTTCTCTTGATTATTGTAGTGAAATCTGCCTAAACAATGCAATCTTTTTCTGTATCAGAGTACTGTTATTTTAGACGTTGACATGTGGAATGTATTCTAAACTGTCCAAGCGCTCTGCCGTTCGGACTCGGATGTTTTCTACCGCTTTTTAGGAGACACCTGCATGACAGGTAGAGGCTTTAGAGACGAGTCTTGTTCTTGTGGTCTTAGCACAGTCACAGTGGAAAAAAAAAAAAGTGTCTGCTTTGCATCATTGTTTATCTCCCCTGCCTGCATTTTCACATCCTCATCCAGCCAAAACTCCTCCTTAAAAAAATAAACCTAGCACTTAACCAAGCTGAGATGTCTCTGACTACACATTCCTTAATCTCATAGTGGAACCAAGACTATTTTATTTCATGACATTGCCTTTTTAAAGTATGATTATTAGTTTACTGACTTCTACATACATGTGGTGGTTTGACATTTGTGGTGTGAGTGCAGATTTACGTAAATGTGCGCCTCTGTTTCTTGATTTATTCCTCTCTTCGTGTGTGTGTGTGTGCGTGAGGGTTGAGGAGTTTTTGAACCATATTTCTTTACGTTTATGATCATCTGTGTTGAAAAAAATCTTGCTCTAGAGAATAATTCTGAATATATCTACTGCTGTATGCTTGTCAAATTATTCTTCTGCCACAGAGTGTACACATGATGAAATACCCTTCGACTGTCAATCCGCCAATAAACTATTTGCACATCTCATTTTTCTCTCAGCCTTTGTTGGGACCTTTCTGAATGTGGGTCACACCTGCAGTGGTTTCTGTGTCAGGTTAGCCGGCTGCACAGTGGAGATACAGAGGTTACAGAGGTCAGATCGTACTTTGATAATACTGCAGCACCAACAGGATGAGAAGTGTGGTTTCAGCACAATAAAATGTACCATCAACTTGGAGCGTGTTACATAATCTCAGGATTGAGTCGTCAGTTGAATTTGATCATGGAGAACTGCATCACAAGCAGAAGTTTGAGCACTAGAAAAATAAATGTGTTATCTTTATGAAGAGACTAGACAAAGAATACCACTATAACATCCGCTTGACACAGCTGGTTAGTACGGTGGCCCTGATGGTAAAAAAAAAAACAGGAAGGCAGTGAAGAAATGTTTCAATAAATGGCAAAAAGAATTCAAAAACCTGAAAAACACATATATATATATATATATTTATATCTACCCCCCTCCAGTGTTTTTGGAGGTTATTTTTCATTAATTCTTTCGCCCTCGTTGACAGGACAGCTAATGAGAGACAGGAAACGAGGAGGAGTTGAGGAAGATGTGCAGCAGAGGGTTGTGGTTAGATGTGTGAATAGCAGCCTCTGCAAAAATGACCACAGCCAATAAACGTCAGTTGCACTTATACCACTGGGCTGACCCCCCTCCATAGTGGTTTTTGGCATCAACGACAGAAATGATCGACCTCAATCCTGGCGGTCTGGTTTTGTCCATCATCACAAGCACATAATTTCAGTTGTTTAAGTGTAAAAGGTACAAACATGATGCTGAAAAAATAAAAGTGAAGTTTGGGGGCCAAAGGGGGAACTCACAGTAATTAAAGTTAATTCCAGCGTAAAATTAATTTAGGGTCAAACACACTGTAATACTGAGTTAGACGCCCTGCCGAGAGATGAATGTTGCCGACTGTTTGCTTCTCTAGTTATACCAACTTTAGTAATGACCGCAGATGGCAGTACACAGCGGTCTGAGGAGCCATAAACAAACCTCAACCGAAACACCACTCTATAGTCACAAATAATGCTCAGAACAGCACCTACTATCATTACCTTATCAGTCAATGGACTCACCCGAAGATCTTCGTACAAACAAGCGGCTGCTGGAAGAGTGAGGATGAGTTGTGTCTAGTCTCTTTGCTTAAGAAATTAGTCAAAGTTAAAAAGATGTTTTGTAGCTAGAGCTACGGCTGTGACCCTATATGTACTGTTTTTTTTTTTTTTTTTTTACTACTTTATTGCAAGGCTTCTTTCTTTCACAAACAAAGTCAGGCTTTCATTTTGCAATATTATACCTTACATAACATACAGAAAGTAAATAACAACCAAAAAGAAACCAAATCAACATATCTCCAAAAATAAGGCAAAACATACAAGCAAACAAAATACAAAAAATAAATGCATAAATAAAATAAAATGAACTAAATATAATTAAATAAACTAAAGAAAACTGGTAGGGGTAGGGGTAGGTGCATGTATGTGTGTTTGTGTATCTGTGTGTGTATGTACATGGATGTTAGAGTTGGGGTGGGGACCTTTTAATCCATCTCCTTAATTTGATTAAATATTTCTACTGTTTTTGTCAACCTTTCTTTGTGGTATAGCTTGTTCCAAATATGCATTTTTTCCCTATTCATTAACATTAGCCTTTCCATCTCTAGACATTGTTCTGCTGTTGATACCCAAGCTGTTAATTTTGGTTGATCTGATTGTTTCCATGCTTTGGTCACCTGTTTCATAGCAGTTGTTCGCAATATGTTAAAAAAATAGCCCTATATGTACTGTTGATGAAGTTAGGTGCTGTTCTGAGCATTATTTGTGGTTATAGAGTGGTGTTTTGGTTGAGCGTGTGACTGTGTATTGATATCCTGCGGTCGTTACTACAGTTGGTATAACTAGAGAAGCAAGCGGTCAGCAACATTCATCTCTCGAGGGGGTGTCTAACTCAATGTTACAGTGTGTTTGACCCCAAATTAATTTTAAACCAGAATATCCCTTTAAGTGTAAAAGGTTCAAACATTGTACCAAAAAAATAAAAGTGAAGTTTGGGGGCCAAAGGGGGACCTCACAGTATTTAATTGCCCATCTGGCAGCAATGTGGATCCTGCCCTGGTGCAATGTAAACAAGCTTCCTTGTAATGCTCTTTCTGTTTAGTATTACTCCAGTGTATTTTAATTGCTGTAAATGTGGGTTGTAACAATCAATCTAGTATGAAACAAATCCTCAAAAGCAGCACCTGTGGTCTTTTAAAGAAGGTGGTCCTAACTGAACTGTCAGTAAGCGAAGAAGGAAGCGATCCTCCCACTTTAGTTTTGTTTTTACAGAGACTTCAGCTCTGCAAACTCAGACAGTAACCCGCTCGTTAGATGAAAACATGAGAAACCTGCGGTGACACACTTTAATCTTCAAACTGGTTTAAACTTGGGGATTAAACTTAAATCGTTTTTGGAGGTAAGTGCTTATTCCTGTCCGCTGCTGCGTCGCTGGTTAAATATCGTGAGTCGCGTGCGTTTGACAGTGATAGAGCACGAGCCTCTTATCACACGGAAGTGTTTTGAAGCAAAATGGTCTGACGTTTGAGAAATATATTGGCATTTGTACACTATTTTTCTGTGACTTTGTATAAAACTTTTTAAAAAGTTGTTTAAAACGTATTTCACGTTAAAGTTACGTTTGCTGCGAAGAGAAGGCAGTCCAAAATACGGTGTGAAAAGTCAGTTTTAAGTCAGTTTTTTAATTATTCAGCAGTTTTTGACTTGGGGAAAATTCAACTGAAAGATTTGCAGGGTACCAAAACATCATTACCCTGTGGACCAAAAGCCTCCTAAGCACTGTTACTAACGATAGTTAAGATAATTGCTGCTGTAACTGGCTGAAAGTTGCTAATTTTGTAGTTGTTTGTTGTTATTAAATGACTCATCTCTAAACCAGAAACAGTCAAGTTGTAGAACAAGTTTAGTTGGGCATGGGTTCAATATTATCCTCTGATTGATGGTTAAAGGAATTAAGGCCAAAATAAGAATTATCTATGTGGCACATCTGAGCATACTTGGTCACAGAGTCCTTTACAAGCACAGTAATAAAAACAAACGTCAGAAAATTAAATATGTCATGTGAAATACTGGCAAGTCAAACAAACAGAGCAGTAAACAAACAACCACCTTACTGGAATGGGAGATTACAGAAAGCCTTGATGATGGATCAGGTTATTGAGTTATTTCTATGTTTATCAATGGTGATGAAGAGCAGGGGGATGTGAGGCTAGTTTGAGTAAATAATCTGCCTCAGCTAAAGTGTGTGCTTAAGCTTGTATACGGGAAATGGGAGGAATCCATGACGTATACAAATGTTTTCAGACTGTAACAGGCTGGTTTAATAGAGCTGAGGGAAGCAGAATTTGACAAGTTGTTGACAAGTTTGTTGCACCAGGCCAATAAACTGTTCACCAGCAGCGGTGAAGGTCTCCTGTCAACAGTATTTAGTTTTCTTTTTAAGCAGTAGGATGATTTTGAAGAAAGGACAGCTGATTAAGGTCATTAGTTTCTGCAGAAAATCAGATATGAGTATAATAGTGAATGATACATTAGAAATCAACTGAATAGATTATCCAGAAGGAGCATATAAAGGGAGAACAGTATTGGTCTGAGGATAGAACCCTGTGGAACTCCGCACAGCAGAGGAACAGAGGGGGATCAGTTTTGTTGCTGCAGAAGTGAGCAATATGAAAGTCAAATAAGTGAAGTCAATTTTGGGGTTTAATATTGAACCTATCACCAATTTCTTCTAGAATTCGGTAACATCGATTTTCATGTATAAAGTAAACAGATAGGAACGCTTAAAAAGACAATCACAGTATCAGCAGGTGTGATTATTTCTGCATATAAGCACAGCCGATAAAGTAAGACATTAACTATGCATAAAAGATAACACCTTAGCAAGACAGTGACATCAACATTTGAAAAGGAATACATGAATCATTTACAGAAAAACCGCATGTTATTTTTCTTGTTTTATGCATGCTTCTCAAAACAAGCAGACTTTCACAACAAGAGGAAAGTTTAGTGCATTGTAAATTGTGAATGTTAGGAATAAGATGTGGGCTTAATTTGTGACAATAACTTTGAATATAATCTGTAAATAAAGTTTGTTCCTCTTCCAAAAAAAAAAAGCTCTATTAAAGCCTCTGTGAGGAACTTCTAGTGTTATCATGTTCTTGAAAAGCATAAAGAGTGTCCTCTGACACAAAAATCTCATCCTGCTGCCAAATATGTTATTCATTGTGAATATTTTACAAGAACAAAGTGGTCTTTGGTCTGTTTTATAAACATCAAAAAACTTCTCATGGGGGCTTTAACCGTCTCTGCCTAATCAATCCAAACATATATGGAATAAAGACATGATTTTGTTAAGTCGTCTTGAAATTTTACCTTCAGTTCAAGAAGACCAATTCTTGTTTTTTCTAGCATGATTTTTCAAAACCAGGTTCAAAGTATCAAAATTTAGTTTCCATTCAGTGATTTTTTTGTTAAAGATTTATTCTTTTACACAAATCCTTCTTTTCCTCCCCCCTAAATAGTTCTGGTTCCTGGGCCAAACCAGACTGTGTCCAATCTTGACTCACTTCTCCTTACTTTTATTGTGAAACTCTGCAGCCGTCACACACCCACTGTGTCTGACAGTGACGGTACTGCGGGATTTTAAAACTGCAGTTTAAGTATAATGTTCTGCTGCTGCGTCATGTTTTTTTTGTCACTCCCACAGTGTGAACTCTGCTCACAATAAGTGGAAAAATGTTCTTTTATTGGCCATTTAAAGCTTTGTGAGGACGGCTTGTATTATAGGTCACCTGTGAAACTTTATGCTGTGTTAAGTCACTGTCTGTTCGCAAGTCTCAGGTGACGGTGGGATTTCTAGCTGGAGATTTCATCCATTTTTTTTTTGTTCTGTTTCATCTGTAGGCTCGGCTTTTCTCTCAGCAGGAGCCATGGTCACATTAGGGAATAACACTGAGTCTCCAGACAAGCCTTATCTTACAGATGCGGGGGAAAAATCGAGAACACTGAGGTCCTTTCCTCCCTACGGCACCATGAATAAAAACTCATCAGGAGACACCTGCCCCACATGCCAAGGCACCGGGCGAATACCCAGAGGTTGGTGCATTTTTGATTATTGACTTTTCTGGATTTTGTGAGCAAATTCAGCCTTGAACCAAACTTAAGTAGGCGAAGTTCACCAACTGTCATCCTCCAATAACTTCTACATTTTCATTTCAAAACTAAGGAAACTAATCCAATCTAAAAAGCATTCATATACTGGACCACTTTCACTTTATTTTAGTGAACAATTGTGTTATTTCTTGTCTTAACAGGCCACGCAGACCAGCTGGTTGCAGTGATTCCATGCAATGATATCAGGCTGAGACCCAGACGCACGTAAGAAATAAAAGCATGTGATTTTGCCTTTACAGTTCCAATGTGCCAGTAAGGTTCATTATCTTCTGTACATGTTTACATAAAGCTTAACATTACACATATATATATTTAACAGCATGTTTTGAGTACAATAACATCTTGCATAATTGTGTTTGTGGATTTCACTCCCTGTAATTCTATAATAAATTTTGCATGTTTTTTTTATTGTGTTTTAGGAAGCTGTATGTGTTCGTCTCCATGGTTGTATGTCTCCTGCTCTCCTGTCTGATCCTCTTCTTCCTTTTCCCCCGGAGTGTCACCCTGACGCCTGTGTCTGTGCTGTCAGTCATGGTCTTCTTCACCCCAGACACGGTTGAAATGGAGGTCACGGTAAGTAAAAGCAGCACTGAGCGTGGAGCCTGTTACATGTGGAACTGTCCGATCTCACTGCTTTAAAAGAAACACCTTCACTGAGCAAGAATAAGGGTGCGCTAGGACTGTTACCAAACTGTCTCATCGTTTTCTGCCAAATTCAGTCAGTTTAGACCAGAATCTGACTATTTTAGGTATCTATTGTAATTATTATGCCTGATAGGTGCATAACTTCAGAGTCAAAATCAAGACATAGGATGAAAATTACTGTGAAATTAACAGAAATATAAAGTTAGAAAAGAAACAACCTTGTAAACATAAAGCTAGCTCGTTAGCTAAAGATACATGAACTGTTTTACTGTCCCCTGCATCTTAATAACTTAAAGAGCCAATATGTAACATGTAACATTTAAATATTTTAACTGTCACAAAATTAAGTACCACTTAATTTCAAGCTAGAAGTTGCTGTCGGGGTATTAATCAAGTCAATAAGTTTATTTTCTTAGTTTAATTACCTGTAAATTAGCTTAATATTCATTGTAGGCTAAGTTGATTAAAGTTAGGTAGATGTCAGTAACGAAGGATATACTGTCGATTCACGGAAATAACACAAGTGTTTTTACAATATCTATTTCTGTTCAAATGACAAGAGTAAGAAATCAGATATTGCCTCAATGATTAATGTACCAGTTAACTTAGCAGCTAGCAAGTTAGCTGGACGTCAGAATTTGGGGACCAACTTGTTGTTTTATGGCAGCAAATCAATTGTTTTTAGGCTACTGCATGTTTGATTAAACTACTTCAGTGTGGGTCATTTTAGATATTTTTTATTACAAAGCTCGTATACACAAAAGCATTATAAATACTTCCCTTTTGTGTGCGAAATGGAGCTGATGAGCTGCTTATCTTGGCTCAGTTAGTTTGCATAAAGATGCATATTGCTAAGCAAAACTTTGCAGAGTCAACATATTTTAATGTCTTTCAGTCACCTGACAGAATATATGTTTACTTGAGGTTTTGTGCGCCTGACACGTGTGTTTCTTCTTCTCTTAGAACCTCATCAACATCTCAAACGAGAACTTTGTCCCAGTTCAGATTGTGGAGTTTAACATGCAGGGTCTGGTCTCTCAATCAGTCGTGGGAAAGATCAAAATATCCAATATGACGGCCATCCAGTCCCGCTCGCAGAACTCAGTGAGTGTCACATGAGGTGAATCACGTCAGATTTCACTGTTAATAAACAGCACGTTATAATATTCACCTTTACCCCTCTTTTGTACCAGTACACCGTTAAGATCAACCTGCCCATCACAGATAAAGGATTGAAGTAAGTTGGTGATTTTCAGACAATACCGAACAGTTAAAAATCAAACACCATGTTCATTTGAATGTTTTTACACATCTGCTTCCTCTCTTTCAGCACTTACTGCAAGTCCGCGGCCATCCACATTCACACATTATTTCTGGAGCTGCAGTGAGTATCGGTCTAAAACCTCATGCTGCTACATGCATTGCTGTACAACCTCAGAACAGTCTTATCTTGTAGGGTTGAATCTTTAAATCTAACATGCCTTATAATGATAAGCAAAAGGATATGATAATGCAGATATGTAAAGAGCATTTCCTGTTTTTTGAATCAGCTTTTTGTATAGAGTTGGTTTAATTCTCCTAGAAATATACACACAAAGTGTACCGTGAAACTGTAAATCAATAAAGCAAAACAATCGATCTGAAACCCTCATCCCCCTTTAACTGAGTACAGCAATCCCAAAGCGAGAAAGAGACAGATGCTGGAAGTTAGAATGATATTCTAAGATTTATATGAGCATGAAAAAGAAAAAGGGAAAATGAAATTAGTCGAGTTCTTGTTTCCAGAGGACAAAATGTCCTTGAGTATGTAATCTCAGACACTACTTTTATATTTTCATTTCTGCTTGTGACTAGCCGCTTCCTCAAGCGTGCCTTCACTCTTTAATACAGTTTTTTTTTTGTTTAACTTGAAACCACATCAGTTCACTTTTTGGCCACTTGGGGGCAGCAGAACAAGCAGAAAATCTGATCCACTATTAAATTAACCAGGTTAACAGATACTTTACTTTCTGTTTATCTGATGGGCATGTGGCGTTCAGTGGTTTTGTATGGCTGCAGTTAAAAAGTGGAGAACCCAAAACTAAAAGCTAAAAGACACTAAACCACTCAGTGCTGCGAAGAGCTGCTTAAAAATCCCATAAAGCTTTCATTCAGTCTCCAATAACGTTTTCTCTTTCTCTCCACAGAATCACAATGAACATTTCTTATCTCTCTCACACGGAGCAGCTGTCTCTGGACACCTTCGAGTATATTGACTGTGGCACCAACTCCACAATCCCACATCCTGTGACATGATGAAACCGAAATGAAAAACACAGAAGCGTGAAATGATGAATGATGAATATTCTGCCTGCATTGCACCATTATCTCGTCTGCACGGGATGTGAATCTTATAATGAGAAATACTATGACAGTGCACCGGAGCTTATCCTTTTATGTTGTTTTCGCAGACTTTTAAGACTCAAATCAATTACTACAATGTTGTGATTTGAAATATAAACACTTTACTGACTTCACCTTTAACTGCTGGTGTTTGTTTGAGGTACAGTAAATCTGTATCACAGGTATGGTGGTCTTGAGGAAGCATTTGTGCCCAGATAACTTGAATTTAAATGTTGAAGTTTATATTTTTATGGAAAATTTAAGGTTTCTATAAAATTTTCTACTTTCAAAATGTTTATGAAGCTGTTTACTTCTTTACAGGGACATGTATTTTATGTAAATATGTGTTGGAATTGCTGATGATCTTTTGTGATTTGCACTTCATTAAACAGTCTCTGTTTTTCACATTATCTCTCTCTTTTTTTTGCTGCTTCATTTTCAGACTCTGTGAGGACATCCATGTCAAAATGAAAAGTTTGGTCTCAGGATGATGATAGATATCCAAAAAACGTCCACCATAGGCCTCAAATCAAAACCTTCAACTAGCTTCAGCTCTTGAAGTTCTTAGAGCAGACACAGGGTGGAGCTAATGCTTTTCTGGACTGACAGTCCAGTCTTATTGTAATACTAATTGAGAAAATGTTATCATACTATAGTATGACATTTTCATCATACTATACTAAGATAACTTTGTCTTACTATACTATGAGGTTTTTTCATACTAAAATGTGAATTTTTTTATCATACTATAGTATGACATTTTCATCATACTACTCTTTGATAACTTTACCTTGCTATACTAAGAGGTTTTTTATAAAATGGGAATTTTTTTAAATACTATACAATAACATTTTTTCATATTTAAATGTATAAATGATATCATACTATACTATGACATTTTTTATACTAAAATGTCATATTTTTAATATACTATATTATATATTTTTTTTCATCCTTAAATGGTTATTGTTTATCAAAGTATACTATGATATTTCGATCATACTATGCTATGATATTTTTTCTTCCTTAAATGTTAAATTTTCATGACAAACTTCACTATGACATTTTTATCAAACTATACTATGACACTGTTTTTCACACTGAAATACAAAATTTTTTACATACTATAATTTGACATTTTTTTCATACTTAAACATGAATTCTTTTTAACAATAAATACCATGACATTTGTGTCACAGCCCCATGATGTTATGAGTTATGTTGTAGAGTCAAAACAAATGTCAGAATAGTATAAATATGCCCAGCAAAGCCCAGGTTGTAGAGTTGTCCATTTAAGAGGAAAAATGTCAACAGAAAGGGTTCAAGTTTTTAGCTTTGAGTGCAAAATATTCTGTAAACTTGCTTACATCTCTGTCAGACTTTACCAGCCATGTATTCTTACCATTTGTAACCTAATTTTACAATGTAGGTCAAAGAGTGAGGCTCCTTTAAAATCGTTTGAAAATTCCTCCTTACATTACCTTTAAAGTAACAGAGGAGAAGGTGCAGTTCACTCTTCCACCGACAGGAGGGCGAGAGTGACCGTGACGTCACCCTGGCTCGAGCTGCCGCTGCTGCTGCCTGCTGCTGCTGTGCGCTCGAGGCTCTCCGGGCTGCTTCAGAGCTGCTCGAGAGGAGGACGAGAGTGGCTGTGACTGCGGGGACAGACACCGTGTGTTTACAAAGTCAGCTATGGACGTGTTTATCTGTGGTGGATAATGTTGTCACGGCACACTTGAAGAGGTACGGACGTCTTTTTAAAAAATGCTTTAAAGGCGAAAAAAATGTCTTTAAAGGGTCTTTCATTCAAAGAAACTGCACGAATTTCTAAATTAACATGTTAATTTTTGTGTTAATATCCGTTAAAGTTACTCTTACTGGTTGTTGGTTGAATATTTTCAAGTTATTAGTTTAATATGCACACTTTTAACGTCATGTAATTATCATATATTGCAAACTAATTGTGCGAGGTTTGGGCCAGATAAGGATAAAACTAAGATGCCCTTTTCGTAGTAGCCTATAATGCACTGAAAGAAAATATCCTAAAGCATGACTGTGCATTTTGTGTAGAGCCAAATTGTGAATTAAAAAAAAAATACATGCTGTTTTGGGCTCATGAGTGGATAATACATGTCTTTCAGGATGTATACAGTGTCAAAAAGCAGCTGTTTGATGGGTATCTGGATGTCAACAACAACCGGATTAGTCCTGCTGCTGCAGTCCTCATAGACAGCAGTGAATACATATCATCCATCCACTGCAATGAAATCAATCTGCCCCAAGAAAAGCCCTTCAGGTTTAGCTGTCCTAAGAGGATCAGGCTTAGGATAACCCCAGCTGCCCAATTATCAGTTGTTTTTCCTGTGTGATGCTGCACTAAAATAACAAGAGCATTTATTGATTTGTGTGAATAATTTATAAGAGAAGTTGATAAAGTATGCAGGCATGGATAGGAGAAACAGGGGGGAAAGGAAGTGACAGGATGAAATTACAGCGGGCCCTTTGGAATTTGCTCCCTCTGATATTTATTATCTTTTCTTTTGTCCTCTTCTGGTTACTCTTTAAATTAGCACTCAGATTGCAAACACACATTCCAGTGGCAGCCATTGTCTTCTCATTAAATGCTAACTACGCGTGTGTTTGTTTTGATAAGGTCTCTGTGGACAGGAACCAAATGCCAGAATACTGAAAGAGGATTAAATCAGGAATCCCGTCACCTCACCTAAGTAGGTGTGAATTTCTGGCTGCAGCCATGGGGAACCAGCTGACTGATATCGCTCCTAACACGCCATTCCTTCCAAACTTCCAGTCCTTACATGTGGTCGTCATTGGGCTGGACTCGGCTGGAAAAACCTCCCTGCTTTACCGGCTCAAGCTGAAGGAGTTTGTGAACACCATCCCCACAAAAGGGTTCAACACAGAGAAGATAAAAGTTGCAGTGGGGACGTCCAGGGCGATAAACTTCCAGGTGTGGGACGTGGGTGGTCAGGAGAAGCTGCGCCCACTTTGGAAGTCCTACACGAGGCGGACAGATGGGATGGTTTTTGTTGTGGATTCAACCGAGCTGGAGCGCATGGAGGAGGCCAAAGTGGAGCTCCACAAGATTACCCGCACCTCAGAGAACCAGGGAGTCCCTGTCCTGGTCCTGGCTAACAAACAGGACCTGGATTCAGCCTTGTCAGTCAGCGAGGTGGAGAAGCTGCTTTCAGTGCATGAACTGAGCACATACACACTGCATCACGTGCAGAGCTGCAGCGCCGTAGACGGTCAGGGACTCCAGCCGGGCCTGGAGAAACTTTATGAGATGATCCTGAAAAGGAAGAAGATGGTGAAGCACAATAAGAACAGAAAGAGATGAACTCTCCTCTCAGACTGAGGACATTAGTGTAGGAGATTTATCCACAGTTAAGACACTTCCAGGCATAATGGTTCCTAACTGGAGAGCAATATGTGCCAACAGAACCACATTTACAAACGGCCGCTGGGTCAGGGAAATGGATTTGCTCATAACAAATGAAGCAGTATTGGCGTTTCTTTGTTCTACAATCATGCAGCTGCCCTTTGGAGGCTAAAGTGATAGATTTAAAGGGAACCTCGATAGCAGTTAGTTCTCACTAAGTGCTTTTCTACACTTGATCTAAAGATGAATCCTAACAAGATGTTTGCTTGTTAACTGTAGGACTAATAAATGAACAAATTCACAATTATAAGACAGGTCCAAGGGGGGGAAAACTTCTACTACATTTTCAATTTCCCTATTATCCTTCACAAGATTGCACAGATTCTCCCACTAACCTGCTCACAAATGCTTCTCCTCGATATTTATTCCACATGTTTGTGTTTGTGTTGGACAAAGGAAATTCTTTTTGGAAGTGATATGAAGTGACACAGAAGTTAGTGGAGATGGAGCACAAATATGTTGAATTTCATGAAACCAGTAACCCTTAAGTGCATTCCCTTCATGGCTGCAGAGGTTAAGTTTCAGTTTGGCAGCAGTGTTTATACAAATTGTACATTTTTTTGTAACACTGAAGACTGAATAAATCCAAGCACTGTACAGACGATGCATTGTTTCTTTGCAGTTAATTACATGACGTTATTGGGTTTGGGTACCGAAATATGGCATTTTATAGTACTGTACTGTGATATTTTGATCATACTTCACTGATTTTTTGAACACTAAATCTATGATTTTTTAAATAAAATGATGTTAACATATCATACTATGATATTTCTATCGTACTTAACCATCATTTTTTGCATACTTAGATATGATATTTGTATCACACTGTACTGTGATATTTTCAACATATTATGGTATATTTTTTCCATTTTATTCTATGACATATTTTATAGTATATGATCTTTTTATCAAACAAGACTGACATTTTTTTCATACTGAAATGTTGATATTTGAAAATACTATACTATAACATTTTTTCATACTACGAAATGAAATTTTCAAAAAAAAAAAATTTTCACACTAAAATTTGACATTTTAAACATACTATACTATGACATTTTTTTCCAACTCAAATATGAAATTTTTTTTTTACACACCAAAATATAAAATTCTCATCAAACTATACTATGACATTTTTATCATACTATAATATGACATTTTTTTTCAAACTAAAATATGATTTTTTTTCACACTAAAATTTGACATTTTGACCATACTATACAATGACATTTTTTTTCATACTCAAATATGGATTTTTTTTTTCACACTAAAATATGAAATTTACATCATACTATACTATGACATTTTTATCAAACTATAATTTGACTTTTTTAATGCTAAAATAGGGCTTTTTTAACACTAAAACTTGACATTTTTATCATACTATTCTATGACAATTTTTTTCGTACTGAAATATGATTTTTTTTTCACTCTGAAATTTAACGTTTTTCACATACTATGCCATTACATTTATGACATACTATACTATGACATTTTTCTATAATAAAATATGATTTTTTTTTCAACTAAATTGTAAAATTTTTATCATAATATACTATGACATTTTGTTTATACTATACTGTGACAATTTTTTTCATACCAAAATATTTTTTTCACACTGAAATATGAGGTTTTTACATACTATACTTTAATATTTTTATCATTCTTTACTATGACCTTTTTTCATATTAATTTTTTTCACACCAAAATATAAAATTTTTATCATACTTTACCATGTTATTTTCATCATACTAATCTATGACATTCTTTCCAAACTCAAATCTGATTTTTTTTTTCACACACCAATATATAAAATTTTCATCATACTATACTATGTTATTTTGTTCATACTATAATATGACATTTTTTTTCAAACTTAAATATGATTTTTTTTCACACTAAAATTTGACATTTTGACCATACTATACTATGACATTTTTTCCAACTCAAATATGAAATTTTTTTTTCACACACAAAAATATAAAATTTTCATCAAACTATACTATGACATTTTTATCATACTATAATATGACAATTTTTTTCAAACTAAAATATGATTTTTTTTTCACACTAAAATTTGACATTTTGACCATACTATTCTATGACATTTTTGTCATACTCAAATATGGAATTTTTTTTCACACCAAAATTTTCATCAAACTATTCTATGACATTTATATCATACTATAATGTGACACTTTGTCATACTTGAATATGTTTTTTTTATACTAAAATGTGAATTTTTTATCATACCTTACTATGACATCTTGGTACTTCCAGACGGTACTTACTGGTATTACGTCTATGACTCTAATTCCTTAATTACCTTTTACCTTATTCCGTGTGGTCTTTGATGGGAAGAAGAGATGACGAGGATCCAGAAGAGTTCTCAGTTTAATCTCTATTTATTGATCACAATGAGTACAATAATGTGTCAAGAATGTGCAACAGAGTCTCTGGGTTCAGAATTAGCTTGCCCTAGCAGACAGACAGTTTAGAGGTCTAAACGCTTCAGAACCCTGACTAACTTACCCTCGAGCCCTTTATAGTTGAGGATACGTCTGCCTGGACAAAGAGTTTGCTACACTTGATATTGTCTTCGTGTGTAGGCTGGTTCCTTGTTCTTCTTCACCTCTAACATAGATGGGTCCAGGTGTTTACCTAATAAAGTGTTGTTTTGGGCATTCTACACTCATATCACACATTCATGCCTACAAAATCATACTGCTAGCTGTTGCTGGGCAAATAATCTAAGCAGGCTTATCATAGATGTACATAACTAACACCCTCCAATGTTCAAACCCCAGTCGCACTCTTGGTATGCATACTTCCTTTTTCATAACCCTGGGTGCAACTTCCTTTAAAAACAGCACATGAGCATCTTTTTTAATAGAAGACATCATATTAACATCTTAATTCAGTAAAAAATACCATACTTAATAACTATCAAGAGAAGCCAAAGCTAAAACCTTCAGAATATGTATGAGGTTCTTTTCCTCTATTCAGGGTGATCTGTAGCCTCTCTGGAGCTTTTATCCTTCTTCCTGTTATCTATCAGTAAATGGCTGCAATGAGCATGATAAATAATTTTTAATGCAACTCCAACAAACCATGTTCATATTTACAATGTATCCCAACACATTTTATCATACTATACTATGACATTTTTTATTACTATCCAATAATATTTTTCTCATACCATACTATTACATTATTATCTTACTATACTGTGATATTTTTATCATACTTAACTATGATTTTTTTTATCATACTATACTATGACATTTTTTTGTACTATGACATTTTTATCATACTGTACTATGGTATTATTTTTTTTTTACTAAACTATACTATCAAATGTAATTTTTATCATACTAAAATATGACATTTTATAGTACTCTACCATAATATTTTTATCATACTCAACTGATTTTTTTAACATAATATATTCAGTATACTATAATATGACATTTTATTGTACAATTCTATGACTTTTTTTATCATACAATACTATATTTTAACATGGTATACTATGATATTTTAACATACTATACTTTAATATTTTGACCTTCCTAACTATGATTTTTTCATACTTTAATATGATATTTTTATCATAATGTACTACTATATTTTTTAAATACCATACTATATTTTTTCATTCTATACTATGATATTTTTTAACAAACTTTTTTGTCATCGTTATCAAACTTTACTATGACGTTTTTATTATTCTATGCTTTGATATTTTTATAATAGTATAATTAAATATGTTATTATACTTTAATATGATAACATAACCCTAACACTTTTGACAAAATTTAGACATTTTTCCTTTTTTTATTTTAGCTATTTACTACAAATGGTTTGAAAAGTGCTTCCAAATAGATCCATCAGTTATGGTGTTGAACAAGTCTATATTTACAGCAGAATTGATTGATTTGTGATGATGCAGCGGTATTTTGAATCAGTAAAATACTTTTAAAATCCCTCTTCACACTTTCAAAGTCTACGTCCATGACAGTCTGTCATCCTGATGTAAAGACTTGAGTATGTAGGTAGCGATGGTCAAATCTTTTAAATTGTATGTACATTATTATGTCAAACATGAACACTTTCAAGCATAAATAAGTCTTAAGGAGCATTTTAGTGTCATTTGGTTTGTGTTTTCATGATTTTTAGACTTTTGGTTGCTCACATTGCTTCAGTTTGCATCAATACAACATTGTGTTTCTGTGAATAAAGTAGAATACAAATACAGGTATCTGTCCAGCTGAAATAATGGGAATAAGAGGAAGCATACATTCATAGGCTTACAGAATGACTTGCATCCAAATGTAGAGGTCTGCAGCCTTGACCCTCCTTCCTATTTGAAGTTGAATCAACAAATTAGACTTTCACACCGCCCCCCCCTCCCCGTCTCCCTTCCCCCCACGTAAGCAAACACAATCATTTCACTCTGGTCTGAGGCAGCCAGCTGCTGACACTGTAATTGCATCAATTAGCGGTGAGGTGGTTCAGAGGTGAGAGAGGGTTTAGTCCTGTTGTGTGAACAAGTGGGATTGAACCACCTGAGGCCATCTCTTGCAGATGTTCTGCTTCACTGCGTCACGGCTGAGGCACCGACTTCAAAACAGAAAAAAGGTGAAGAAAGGCAGTTTGGTGGTGAATCCAGTTCATTCAATGACAATACCACATCATGACAATAGTTTATCATGATATTTCTACATTTAACACCCAAAGTAATTACAATCTTAGCAGGAGTTGTGCTGTTTTTGAAGGATTAGTATTCTGATATGACAGATATTACAGTTTCAGGATCCCTGTAGATGAAGATCCTTCTAAATATTTGATTAGGTTTACACTCAGTTGGTTACTGAACAGGTTTTGAAGGGTTTTACCAGGAGAAACTATTCATAATCCACTTATGTTTCAAAAATACCTCTTAAGTTGTGGTTCAAAGACAATTCAACGCAACCAGCGAATCAAGTCCAATCTCCAGCTCACACATTGTTGACCTGAATACCATTCAGTCTATATGTGTTCGCGTGTTCTCCTGCTGTGTTTAGTCTCAGCTGACATGATGGGATAATGACTTCTTAGACACGGAGGCGTCCTGCTGAGCATGTTCCAAGTCTGAAACAACTCAGAAAATGTGCATGCATGATCAGAAATGAGACCCATGCAGACACACACATGCATCCTGGCTTCGGTGACCTCGGCGTACTCGTTTCGTACCACGGTGAGCTCATTAAAAACTTTCAAGGTTGTCTTTTGCAGAATCATCTTGACACAGCAGCTGGTCTCTGAATAAATTAGCATCATGATGTGTTGTGGATTTTTTTTTCTCAGCGGCTGAGAAACACCGTGGGCATGTGGAGGCATCGATCAGCTCATGAAATAAATTCAGCAAAGGTGTAAAAGAGAGCGTTTTACAGCCGAGGACAGGTGCTGACAGTGTGATGCACACTTGACTGACTCACTCATTTGGAGGCCTGATCCATCCGGAGGGGGTCAAACCTAAAGAAGCTGCATGTGTGTAGAGTTTTTACCTTCTTTACCTCCTTTCTTTGCATGTTTCTGTCATATACTGCGCAGTCTCTTTGCTCCCTAAAGTCTCTGTCGTGTCTTCTTCTATTTGAAGCGTAATCGTGGCTGACAAGAAACACACGAAACAGGAAAGCCTGAAGGATAGTGTGTCAGGGATTAGACAAGAGGATCGCACACAACCAGGTATAGCCCTGGAATCGTGTGGCACAGAGCCGGTACAGGAAATCTGTTGGGCACAAATTTCCATAAATCATCTTCCCCATAAACAAAACTGTCATGGCAAGTTTGGACAACAGCTATCCTTCTCAACTACTCCAGGATATTCCTTTCTATGCGTGTTTTATTACTGCCTCTGTATGTTTTCAGAGTAGGGAGAACATTAATGCAGATCCAGAATAATCTGAGTTTCTCTACTGCAGGTCCCTGTGGAAGCAACTTGTCAATCACAAGAAGCCCTGAAGCATATCCTGTTTTTTTCGGCTGTTTTGCTTAAATGAGACCCCAGTTTACAGAAGGAGCATCATGTCATACTGAAAGAGACTCCAGAGTGGAAACTGAGACTAAGAACTTAAAAAGTTCATACAAGACATGCATGATATTTGATGTTCTGATAGATTATTAGCCACTAATGGGAATATTGTCATTATTTCTTATTCAGATGACACAGTTTTTTAATCTAACAAGTGCGCCAGTACAAATTCTCACCTCTATCAATTTTTTCATGGGCATTGGATGATTTTTTACCCACTGAATGCCAGTATGAAATCCATCTACTGTCTATGGAAGGAGACCAAAACTCGAAGGTCTATTTTGATCAAACATGGCTCAGTTTGATTATATGGATTTATTTCATTTGCACAGTTTAACTAGATAATCAAACCTCCTTAGTTACTTTCCTCTTGTTGTGTTCTAGTTTCCAAAGACAAAAAAAGCTGTTCCCAGCTACGATCAGTTTGTCCTCCATTTTCCCTCCATAAGTTACCAGGAGATCATCATGCTGATCGGCTATTTTGACCAATGGAGTGCTTCACCTGAATCCAGATTACTGTTGAATAAGTGAATGAGGCGAATGAAGTGAGACCAGCGTTAAAAGCGTTACAGGCAAAACCCACAGGATCTGGAACGGCTCCGCTCTGCTCCGGCAAGGCCGGTGGATCAAATACGCAAGCATTATCATTTGGCGTCTGGTTCCGCTGCGGATCAGATTGGATCAGATACATAAGGCTTCTATTTTTGCTGGACACCGAAGCACGGCACATCAATTCAGTACAACGCAGCACGAGCAGCAGCGGAAGTTTTATGCGTTTACAGAGTAAAATATCTGGTTAATTTTCAAAATAAAATAAAGTCGATACATTGAACTGTTGTTAACTTGATTATAACAGAGGCC